TAACGGTTTTTACAGTTTAAGATTATGAAATCAGTTCACAAGACGTTAAAAATAACTCATAAAACATAAACACGTTTTGAATAGTTTAGCGATTGTGTCCTCAAACGTGGTTAGATAACGATGTTGTTTATGTGAGCTGAGTTCGGAACTACTCCACTTTTAAGTTTATTCATCATTTTATTAGGGGTGTCAGCTTCATTATGAAAATTGTATTCTCGTTGCATGTCGTTTTGAAATAATGCATTCTTCAATGTAAGCTGTAATAAGCATACGGCTTTTACTCTTTTTTGTTTCTAAAATTATCACAATCATCACATTTAATAAAGGTCATACCAAAGTGAATTTGAAATGTTGACTTTTGTACTATTTCTTAGAGAGGTGGCAGCATCCATCGCACGGTTATAATACAAGAGTAATACTAAAAATATTGAAATGTGTTTTATTTCAATCAAAAATTGAAAGAGCTACATGGTCGAGTGCCTATGATGTCGGTTGCTTCATCCGGCCGAATAGTGTTTGAATCCTCGTTTAAGAAAACCGTTGTTTTTTTTTTTTTTGCGATCTCGACGTTTTACACCTCCCTGAGTCAGAAAACATAGCTTTGCAATCGTGTCCGTATGTCTGTGTGTATATGTGTGTTTGTCTCTGAGTGTGTAAACACGATAACTTGAGTACTGTTATAGCTAGGTTGATGAAATTTTATATATAAGTATTTTATCAAAATCGTAGCTACGTGTCAACTTTTGAGCGATTTCAAATTACCGAATGTGGAACTTTATCTACTTTTAATTTCTCAAAAGCCTATAATTTGAGTAATATTTCAGATAGATAAAGTAAAATTCGCATGTAAGTAAAAGATCTAATTCTCCGCCTTCTGTCAAATTTTGTGTAATTCCTGTTGACTGGAAGTAGTAATTTTCGCTACTTCCGATTTCTCTAAAAACCCATGTGAACTTATAAAGTACTAATAATATTCCGCACATTTTATTTGGCGTTCACGTGGTGTGTAATTCTTTTTTTCTACGAGATTAAGTATTTAAAATGGATTAAAAATCAATTCTATATCCCGAGTAACATTCACTGTTGTTTCATTTAAGAATATTTGCGAAAGTTTATGGGAGATCACTCCCGGTTTATTTTTTAACAACTATTTTGCAACCCGCTAGAAGCTCTGCCCTTTAAAAAGCAATGAATTCGAATTCAAATAATTTCATTTTTTCCAAACAAGTTACTAAAAAATATATTTTATCAATTTTAGTTTATAGACAATTCGTTTTAATTTTCTTACAGCAGACAGTCGCGTGGTTAATTTTCATCACCCTGGTGTACATTGTTGTTCTAGATGCTACGACCGCCTAAGTGTTTAGTGTTAAAGTCCTACATGATAGCGACACACGCTGTAATTTGTTTTTCAAACATAGCTATCTTCACTCCATTTTTATGTCAGTCGACAATCTATTGTGGTTGCTGTTGCATGGAGGTCTACATTAGGTTAATGACAAGAAAGTCAGGATTAAAATATGTTGGTTTGAAACTTGTTTGAAAGTCAGGATTAAAATATGTTGGTTTGAAACTTGTTTGAATATTTTAATTTACTTTGCACATGGGCACATACTTCGTCCCTTTACAATTATTAACATCTCGTGTTAACCATTTCAGACGTCCCCACCCCTTCTCCTTACCCCGTCCAAACTCGTCCACTTTCGACGTAACCTTTTATTCACTGATACATGTCTTTAATATTTTCGATAATTTCACAAAGTATAAAGCATTTATTTGTATGTGGAGTTCTGTTTTTTAAGCTACATTTTAGAGAGATGTGGTAGACTGAGGCGTGACGTTATTTTAGGTGCTGGGTCCTGGTTTTAGGTGAAGATTAGTGACTTTGGAGAGGGAGCAAAAATCATTAAAACATCGTGACGTATTTCATGTTATAGACCACCCCAGTGCTTTATTTACCTGATGCGATGTTGTTGTTTTTTTTAATGTTTTTTTTGTTAATTGTAAGCACTTCTATGTTAAATTTAACATGTGGACGTACACATGGACCCGACCCCCCCCCCCCCAGTTCACACGCGTCCACAAAAGTCGATTCTGGATATAAAAAAACCACATTCTGATCCAAAGTTATATTCTTGCCAGATCAAGGGGAACAACCTTCGATAAAACTACTCTGCTTTATACATTCAGTTATCTGTAATTATTGACTTTACATTAAGTCTTGTTAATTTTGTTGAGTACCGATGTTGTAATGCTTTAAATTATACACTTGTTGTATTTGTTTAAATACAGAGCTTTATGACAGAAATAGATGCTTATGCACATGTATTTACAATTAGTTGTGTTTTTTTTTTCATAATGATAATTTATTTTATCAATTTTCTCCTAATTTGTTGTTTTTTATTTTTGTTTTAAGCCTAAAGAGATTTAACGTATAATAGAAATAACTGTGTTTCGTTTTGATAATTATCTTAACTAAATTATAATTTAAAACATTTTACTCACATTAAGCAAATATTGTATTGGCAAGCCTGTGCTAAAACATTAAGCCATGGATGGACTGGTTGTGTACAAGAGGCCAGGGAAAGTTAACCCCCCCCCCCCCAACTCCAGATGGAAAATGGCATCGTGCATTTTTCACAGTCAAAGCCCAAGCCTACAAACAAAACCAATAATCTCTTTAAAAATTATATCACAATGTATGTCTATAATTAGAACAAGAACGATAAACATTTTCTAGGGGCCCATCGGAATATTTTCAATGGGCCCGTAAGGATTTTTCCCGATAAACCAGCGGCCAGTCCACTCCTGACAACAGCAGATCCTAAGCTCGCCGTGTTGTCTAATGGCTAATGGCTGATGTTTGGTACAACGACAACGACGGCGGGTTCTAGTGGTGCTATTGTAAACATTACATTGCGATTAGGATTCCCCCCCCCCCCCCCCGAAAAAATTCTACCGCCCCCCCCCCCCCCGAACGAAATGAAATTTATATAATTTATATAGAAAATATATACTTTTAACAGTGTCCGCCCCCCCCCCCCCCTTAAGAAAGTCTAACGCCCCCCCCCCCCCCCGAAAATTTCAAGTGACACCCCCCCCCCCCGGAGAAAAAAGTCTGGAAGAAACACAGCATATAAGGCGGCGATGTATTGATTGAATCCTTAAATTTAAAACAACTACAAGCCAGGAGCGAGAACAAAGCTTTACTCGTAATAATGGAGTTTACGACAAGACACAGCTAGGATTCACACCAACACATAAGTGATAGGGGAAGTCTTATACAGAATATATATTTTAATGGCTTGTCGATTGAGGACAATTAGAGCTTAATGGCTATGATAAACTACCCCACTTGGTGTTTAACTGCCCGTTGTAAAGATGTACAGATTAAAAATGATTAGTCAAAATATCGAAAAGATATTGATGGTGACAGACTTAGCTATCGCCACGTAGATGGTACAAGCCTCGTGTATTACTACTCGAACTCCCTCACATGTCACCACATAGTCGTGACTCCCTTGTGTGTTACCACATAGTTGTCACTGTCTCGTGTGTCAACACATAGTCGTGACACCTTCATGTGTCACCACATTGTGACTCCCTCGTGTTTCACCAATTAGTCGTGACTGGCTTGTGTGTTACCCATTTATTGAGCCATGTTTGTGTGTCACCACCTAAAGTTTGTAACCAGATGAAATACAACATGTTTCTAATACAGTATATATTGATTAGCATTAAATAATTTATAACTTAAAAAATATATCGCCACAAAAATTTGTTTGCAGCATATGGCGCACTGAACTTTGATTTTTTCATATTGTAAACCGTCCGACTAGCAATAATCACTTTCTATAGTCAGTACATAGACAGTGAATTATGGTTCATTATGGGAGTCAAGATATTAGTGCTGCTCAGTTTCACTCCACACACTTTTGTACATGTAAGTTTTTTTGGCTTTTTGTTTTTATAAAGCTTTATTTCTTACACTTGTTTTGCACCTTTGTTTTATTAATTTAAAAAATTCGGTTAACATAGTTTTGAAGAATTAATATCATCTATGATCTTTAAACCTAATACATATCTCTATACATCTCAATCATTTATGTAACTGCTGACTTGTTTTAATTAAAATTAATGCATGTCGCAATCAATTTTGTAAAGTAAGGATTTAGTTCGCGCTAATTTAAACTGTTCACCGCGGTTTTCAGTTAGGTTCGGAGGACCGTATCGATTCGCAACCCTTACGTTTATTTAAAGCCAGTTCATACAAATCGTGACACCCGTATTTTCTATCAATTAGATTTTAATTAGGTTCAAGCAGTTTAACTTTTTTTTTCTTAAATACTAACCGCTCACTTTTAGAAATGGTTTGGCTTTATCTGTCGATGATATTCCGTGTGGAACCTTTTGTGATTTTCTTTTATTGTTTCTATTTTATGTCTCTATAGGTTTCTATTATTTTAATAAATGATAAATTTCAGTACATGTTTACTCTGTTTCAGACATATTTATGTAGCTTAACACAACAAGCAAGAGTGTTGTCTTAACAAAAGAATAGAAAACTTTGACTTAACGGTTCGATAACATTATCTGCTACACAGTACACTGTAAATCTACAATACGCTTTACACAGAGGCTAAAGCGGGGCTTTGTTGTGTTGATATATTGTATTTGATGTTTCAGTTTTTTAAATGCTGGTTATTTCATGCGTAGCTATTAATGTAACGGTGTGAATTTTCTCGATTGTGATTTCTTTTTCAAGTTTTTAAAATATGGTTTATTTTGTGTGCAGCTGTATGTTTATTGCAGTGTTTTCGAGTTTTTAAAATATGAATTATTTTGTGCGTAGTTTTATATTCTTATAAATGTAACTATAGGCAGTTCTTAATTGTCACACAAGATTACATTGCGGTTATTTCTGGACATAACATTTCTATGCGCAGATAAATCACATGCCCTGTGTGTGGCATGATTATATAATAAAATGTGCACAAGTTTAGACCTTGTCAACAGACAATTGTGTTCAGGATTTATCTTTTTGTTGTGCTTTGTGCTGTTTGGGATGGTATTTCAAGGTCAAATATGGAACCACGTGACGTTTAAGGTTGTTTCCGGTCTATGGCGAAACAAACAAGATGTGGATTTGGTAGTTAAGGTAGCCGAGCAGCGCCGAGTTCCAGAAATAAACTGTTCGGCGATCTTCGCAGGAGATATCAAAACAACACTAGCAGCAAGGGAGATAACTAAAACAATAAAAGGGGGGATAACTAACGAGTATTACATCAGCGCAACAAAAAACTGCCCACGTTTTATTCAGACACGTGGTTATATAAACTCTACGTTAACAAAAGACGAAGAGGATTTTCCCATCGCGTTTTCTGTTTTAGTATTCAAGGACGCCGAAATGGTGGAGCGACTTCTTCGTGCTATTTATAGACCACAAAACGTTTACTGTATACACGTAGATAAAAAGTCTGGGACGGAATTCTATAAGGCTATCTCCTCCATAGCCGGTTGTTTTAGTAACGTTTTCTTGACGGCCAGAAGAGTGGATGTGCGCTGGGGGACGTACAGTGTGCTGGAGCCGGAGCTGCTGTGTATGCAGGAGCTGTGGAGGTTCAGGAGCTGGAGGTACTTCATCAACCTGACGGGGCAGGAGTTCCCGCTCAGGACAAACTACGAGCTGGTCAAGATCCTGCGGGCGTTTAAGGGGGCGAACAGCATACATGGGACAATTAAACGGTAGGTGCTTTAGGGGAATGGACGATTGAACGGTAGGTGCTTTAGGGGAATGGACGATTGAACGGTAGGTGCTTTAGGGGAATGGACGATTGAACGGTAGGTGATTTAGGCCTTAGGGGAATGGACGGTTGAACGGTAGATGAATTAAGGGAATGGACGATTGAACGGTAGGTGAATAAGGGGAATAGACGATTGAACGTTAGGTGCTTTAGGGGAATGGACGATTAAACGGTAGGTGATTTAGGGGAATGGACGATTAAACGGTAGGTGATTTAGGGTAATGGATGATTGAACGTTAGGTGCTTTAGGGGAATGGACGATTGAACGGTAGGTGATTTAGGGGAATGGACGATTGAACGTTAGGTGCTTTAGGGGAATGGACGATTGAACGGTAGGTGATTTAGGGGAATGGATGATTGAACGTTAGGTGCTTTAGGGGAATGGACGATTGAACGGTAGGTGATTTAGGGGAATGGACGATTGAACGGTAGGTGATTTAGGCCTTAGGGGAATGGACGATTGAACGGTAGATGAATTAAGGGAATGGACGATTGAACGGTAGGTGAATAAGGGGAATAGACGATTGAACGTTAGGTGCTTTAGGGGAATGGACGATTAAACGGTAGGTGATTTAGGGGAATGGACGATTAAACGGTAGGTGATTTAGGGGAATGGATGATTGAACGTTAGGTGCTTTAGGGGAATGGACGATTGAACGGTAGGTGATTTAGGGGAATGGACGATTGAACGTTAGGTGCTTTAGGGGAATGGACGATTGAACGGTAGGTGATTTAGGGGAATGGATGATTGAACGTTAGGTGCTTTAGGGGAATGGACGATTGAACGGTAGGTGATTTAGGGGAATGGACGATTGAACGGTAGGTGATTTAGGCCTTAGGGGAATGGACGATTGAACGGTAGATGAATTAAGGGAATGGACGATTGAACGGTAGGTGAATAAGGGGAATAGACGATTGAACGGTAGGTGCTTTAGGGGAATGGACGATTAAACGGTAGGTGATTTAGGGGAATGGACGATTAAACGGTAGGTGATTTAGGGGAATGGACGATTGAACGGTAGGTGATTTAGGGGAATGGACGATTAAACGGTAGGTGATTTAGGGGAATGGACGATTGAACGGTAGGTGATTTAGGGGAATGGACGATTGAACGGTAGGTAATTTAGGGGAATGGACGATTGAACGGTAGGTAATTTAGGGGATTGGACGATTGAACGGTAGGTGATTTAGGGGAATGGACGATTAAACGGCAGGTGATTTAGGGGAATGGACGATTAAACGGTAGGTGATTTAGGGGAATGGACGATTAAACGGTAGGTGATTTAGGGGAATGGATGATTGAACGTTAGGTGCTTTAGGGGAATGGACGATTGAACGGTAGGTGATTTAGGGGAATGGACGATTGAACGTTAGGTGCTTTAGGGGAATGGACGATTGAACGGTAGGTGATTTAGGGGAATGGATGATTGAACGTTAGGTGCTTTAGGGGAATGGACGATTGAACGGTAGGTGATTTAGGGGAATGGACGATTGAACGGTAGGTGATTTAGGCCTTAGGGGAATGGACGATTGAACGGTAGATGAATTAAGGGAATGGACGATTGAACGGTAGGTGAATAAGGGGAATAGACGATTGAACGGTAGGTGCTTTAGGGGAATGGACGATTAAACGGTAGGTGATTTAGGGGAATGGACGATTAAACGGTAGGTGATTTAGGGGAATGGACGATTGAACGGTAGGTGATTTAGGGGAATGGACGATTAAACGGTAGGTGATTTAGGGGAATGGACGATTGAACGGTAGGTGATTTAGGGGAATGGACGATTGAACGGTAGGTAATTTAGGGGAATGGACGATTGAACGGTAGGTAATTTAGGGGATTGGACGATTGAACGGTAGGTGATTTAGGGGAATGGACGATTAAACGGCAGGTGATTTAGGGGAATGGACGATTAAACGGTAGGTGCTTTAGAGGAGGGACAATTTAAGTAAAGGTGTTTTAAGGGAACGGATGATTAATTGTTAAGGTGCTTTAGGGGAGGGACGGTAGGCTTATTTAGAGGGACAATTTAACAGCAGGTGCTTAAGTGGAAGGGTAAATTAAATAGTAATTTCTTTGGATGATAGAATTCCAATTAACTGCGTTTTTTAATAGTACATACTTGTTTTTTGATTTACGAGAGAGTATAATTTACTATCGATGCTAGTAGGCCGAAATGGTAGTTGGTGTTCCAAGGCTACGTTCTAGAACTTTCTATTTATCACAGAGTGGGTGAACACTGTCAAATATTGTGTGCATAATCTCAAAATTAGGTTTTCCGCTAACCGCTAAACGAATCGATGACTGTTTTTTTTTTTGCTCTTTGAATACATAACATGCGACGAATTTTAATTTCTAAGTGTAAAGCTGTTGCCAACAGAGATGTAAAAGAAGAGTTTAAGCCTTGAATCATTCAATAAAAGTATGGTACAATATTCAGTGGAGACTTTGACACGAATATTGCATCACGTGATCTACAGTTGTGTATTGCTTACGTAGATATTTTTACAGCCCTTTCTTTTTGCATTTTAAAATATTACCCAATCGTTTTTGTCTTGTATACTTTACGAGTATTACTACCTTTGTTATACACTTATACTACAAGAAAATAATTATTCAGCACCAGATTAATCCAAATTATGACAGTCATGAAATACAACTGAAAATGCTCATGTAAGTCATAAATAGCCGAATAAGCTAATAAATAAATTGTATCTATCAGTATGCTCTTTGTATGAATGGCGTCCTTCCTTTTATACATCTATATATATAATTCTATTCTTGGAGACCCTAGAAAACACCAAGCTGTAAGCGCGCCTCCTACCAGCCCCCTCTCTTCCTCTATACTCTATAGGCATATCGCTACCACCCCCACCCCTACATGGTCTGGTGAGCTGTGGTTCACGCTAAATGTTTACAATCGTAGAGCCGGGTTTAGTGACAGCTATTAGGGGCATATAATTTAGTTTGAAACGATTTTAAACTTAGGGTAGGTAACTAAGAGGAGGCTGCTTTCACAGGGGGGGGGGGGGCAGCATTCAAATAATGAGTTACTGAAAAGAAGAAAATAAAACAACTAAATAGCGGCGTATAATTCGTCGCGGGTCGCGGGTCGGCTCGTATTATATAATTACGCCATACTTACACTTTTTCTGATCACCACTATACATTTTACCTTCCATAAGATTATTATCTTTAGCTTCTTGTTTGTTTAATTGATTTTTTTATAGATTCACAATTAAATAACTGATTTGATTTTCAGCGCCAATGTTGAAAGATGGGGAAATTTGGCTCCACCCCTGGGGATTCGTGCAGTTAAAGGTTCAGTCCACATCGCTGCAAACAGGTAGTTTTAGAGACATCTGTTTTACCTGTATTTTAATATAAACATGTAGCTTTAGAGACATCAGTTTTTCCCTGTATTTTAATATAAACAGGTAGTTGTTTTCCCTGTATTTTAATACAAATTAGTAGTTTTAGTTTTTATCTGTATTTTATCTGTATTCAAACAGTTTTCCAGCCATTTTTATTTACCTGTAATTTAATACTAACATGAAGTTTTGGAGCCATCTTTGTTTACCTATAATTTATTACAAACAGATAGTATTGGAGCCATCTCTATTTACCTGTAATTTAATACTAACATGACGTTTTGGAACTATCTTTATTTATCTGTATTTCAATACAAACAAGTAGTTTTTGAGACATCTGTATTTATCTGTATCATTACAGAAACGAGTAATCTTTAAACCTCTCCTGTTTACAAGTAATATGACAGTTTTAAAACGACTACTACATATACACATGTATTAGGTTTACTATGGTATATATTTAATCATTGCAACAACAAACTTTAAACAGTCGATATTGATCAGATTATGTTAATCGGCTTTAGGGAACCTGCGCTCCTAGTGTTGTATAATGTTTAGATGATCGCCTTTTTAACACTTCAGTAATAACCGCTATATATATATATATATATATATATATATATATATATATATATATATATATATATATATATATATATATATATATATATATATATATATATATATATATATATATATAATATCTGCGTACTTTTTAAATAATTGGAGCCACTCTAGCGCACGCGACCCTCTTTCACATTAATTCCAAATTTTCTACCGATAAATTACTGCCATTTAATGTATGGTTAGGCCTAGCTCTTCTTTGTCATCTGCTAAATAAAAACTCAGTACTCGGTGTTTTTCTAGGAACAGTCTGTCCGGGTTAGTGTCGATTGTTTTAGATTTGGTTGGCATGTCACAAGAACATGTCGAAAGTTTATATTGAAAAAATGATGAAATACGTCATACCGATCCAACGTTGTTTAGTACTTGGTGAAGACTAGAACTAATCTAACTTGCTTTACAAAGTAAGTAAATTAGAATGACTTAAGTTAACATAGGCCCTACAGAACGGATAATGAAGATTTCACTGTACCCAAATATATAAATATAATGCTCTTTATAGTTTAAAAAATTGACGATTATATTTTCATAAAAAATAAAAAGGAAATCTATCTAAAATAAATTGAAAGGAATGTTGCCGGGTGTTAAAATAAGCCAACCAGAAACAATAAACGTGCTTATATTATTTCTTAGGTTGTTGTTAAGTCAACAACACTCACGATCTTCTATAAAATCATTACTCAGCTCCTTTAATCCCGATTAAGCTGTTGGACTAATCCGTTAATCTTTAAACGCTGAACCATAACACGCGTTGAAAGTTGACGTATTTCACATGTGGATACGTGTCAACAAGACAGTGTACTTTCATAATTGGTGTCAGTGTTTTGCGAATTTACATTTTTAAAAGATGTTTTCTACATTTTAAGGTGTGTTAGAGATGGTCAGTTAGGTAGACATGTGTTAGAGATGGTCAGTTAGACAGGTGTTAGAGATGGTCAGTTAGGTAGACAGGTGTTAGAGATGGTCAGTTAGACAGGTGTTAGAGATGGTCAGTTAGGTAGACAGGTGTTAGAGATGGTCAGTTGGACAGGTGTTAGAGATGGTCAGTTAGGTAGACAGGTGTTAGAGATGGTCAGTTAGACAGGTGTTAGAGATGGTCAGTTAGGTAGACAGGTGTTAGAGATGGTCAGTTAGGTAGACAGGTGTTAGAGATGGTCAGTTAGACAGGTGTTAGAGATGGTCAGTTAGACAGGTGTTAGAGATGGTCAGTTAGGTAGACAGGTGTTAGAGATGGTCAGTTAGACAGGTGTTAGAGATGGTCAGTTAGACAGGTGTTAGAGATGATCAGTTAGACAGGTGTTAGAGATGGTCAGTTAGGTAGACAGGTGTTAGAGATGGTCAGTTAGGTAGACAGGTGTTAGAGATGGTCAGTTAGGTAGACAGGTGTTAGAGATGGTCAGTTAGGTAGACAGGTGTTAGAGATGGTCAGTTAGATAGACAGGTGTTAGAGATGGTCAGTTAGACAGGTGTTAGAGATGGTCAGTTAGGTAGACAGGTGTTAGAGATGGTCAGTTAGGTAGACAGGTGTTAGAGATGGTAAGTTAGGTAGACAGGTGTTAGAGATGGTCAGTTAGGTAGACAGGTGTTAGAGATGGTCAGTTAGGTAGACAGGTGTTAGAGATGGTCAGTTAGACAGGTGTTAGAGATGGTCAGTTAGGTAGACAGGTGTTAGAGATGGTCAGTTAGGTAGACAGGTGTTAGAGGTTGTCAGTTAGACATGTGTTAGAGATGGTCATTTAGGTAGACAGGTGTTAGAGATGGTCAGTTAGGTAGACAGGTGTTAGAGATGGTCAGTTAGACAGGTGTTAGAGATGGTCAGTTAGGTAGACAGGTGTTAGAGATGGTCAGTTAGGTAGACAGGTGTTAGAGATGGTCAGTTAGATAGACAGATGTTAGAGATGGTCAGTTAGACAGGTGTTAGAGATGGTCAGTTAGGTAGACAGGTGTTAGAGATGGTCAGTTAGACAGGTGTTAGAGATGGTCAGTTAGGTAGACAGGTGTTAGAGATGGTCAGTTAGGTAGACAGGTGTTAGAGATGGTCAGTTAGATAGACAGGTGTTAGAGATGGTCAGTTAGACAGGTGTTAGAGATGGTCAGTTAGTTAGACAGGTGTTAGAGATAGTCAGTTAGGTAGACAGGTGTTAGAGATGGTCAGTTAGGTAGACAGGTGTTAGAGATGGTCAGTTAGGTAGACAGGTGTTAGAGATGGTCGGTTAGACATGTGTTAGAGATGGTCAGTTAGGTAGACAGGTGTTAGAGATGGTCAGTTAGGTAGACAGGTGTTAGAGATGGTCATTTAGGTAGACAGGTGTTAGAGATGGTCAGTTAGATAGACAGGTGTTAGAGATGGTCGGTTAGACAGGTGTTAGAGATGGTCAGTTAGGTAGACAGGTGTTAGAGGTTGTCAGTTAGACAGGTGTTAGAGATGGTCGGTTAGGTAGACAGGTGTTAGAGATGGTCAGTTAGACATGTGTTAGAGATGGTCAGTTAGGTAGACAGGTGTTAGAGATGGTCAGTTAGGTAGACAGGTGTTAGAGATGGTCAGTTAGATAGACAGGTGTTAGAGATGGTCAGTTAGATAGACAGGTGTTAGAGATGGTCAGTTAGATAGACAGGTGTTAGAGATGGTCAGTTAGATAGACAGGTGTTAGAGATGGTCAGTTAGATAGACAGGTGTTAGAGATGGTCAGTTAGATAGACAGGTGTTAGAGATGGTCAGTTAGACAGGTGTTAGAGATGGTCAGTTAGACAGGTGTTAGAGATGGTGAGTTAGGTAGACAGGTGTTAGAGATGGTCAGTTAGACAGGTGTTAGAGATGGTCAGTTAGGTAGACAGGTGTTAGAGATGGTCAGTTAGATAGACAGGTGTTAGAGATGGTCAGTTAGATAGACAGGTGTTAGAGATGGTCAGTTAGATAGACAGGTGTTAGAGATGGTCAGTTAGATAGACAGGTGTTAGAGATGGTCAGTTAGACAGGTGTTAGAGATGGTGAGTTAGGTAGACAGGTGCTAGAGATTGTCAGTTAGACAGGTGTTAGAGATGGTCAGTTAGGTAGACAGGTGTTAGAGATGGTCAGTTAGATAGACAGATGTTAGAGATGGTCAGTTAGACAGGTGTTAGAGATGGTCAGTTAGGTAGACAGGTGTTAGAGATGGTCAGTTAGACAGGTGTTAGAGATGGTCAGTTAGGTAGACAGGTGTTAGAGATGGTCAGTTAGACAGGTGTTAGAGATGGTCAGTTAGGTAGACATGTTAGAGATGGTTAGTTAGGTAGACAGGTGTTAGAGATGGTCAGTTAGGTAGACAAGTGTTAGAGATGGTCAGTTAGACAGGTGTTAGAGATGGTCAGTTAGACAGGTGTTAGAGATGGTTAGTTAGGTAGACAGGTGTTAGAGATGGTCAGTTAGACAGGTGTTAGAGATGGTCGGTTAGGTAGACAGGTGTTAGAGATGGTCAGTTAGACAGGTGTTAGAGATGGTCAGTTAGGTAGACAGGTGTTAGAGATGGTCAGTTAGACAGGTGTTAGAGATGGTCAGTTAGGTAGACAGGTGTTAGAGATGGTCAGTTAGGTAGACAGGTGTTAGAGATGGTCAGTTAGACAGGTGTTAGAGATGGTCAGTTAGGTAGACAGGTGTTAGAGATGGTCAGTTAGGTAGACAGGTGTTAGAGATGGTCAGTTAGACAGGTGTTAGAGATGGTCAGTTAGGTAGACAGGTGTTAGAGATGGTCAGTTAGGTAGACAGGTGTTAGAGATGGTCAGTTAGGTAGACAGGTGTTAGAGATGGTCAGTTAGGTAGACAGGTGTTAGAGATGGTCAGTTAGTTAGACAGGTGTTAGAGATGGTCAGTTAGTTAGACAGGTGTTAGAGATGGTCAGTTAGGTAGATAGGTGTTAGAGATGGTCAGTTAGGTAGACAGGTGTTAGAGATGGTCAGTTAGGTAGACAGGTGTTAGAGATGGTCAGTTAGACAGGTGTTAGAGATGGTCGGTTAGGTAGACAGGTGTTAGAGATGGTCAGTTAGACAGGTGTTAGAGATGGTCAGTTAGGTAGACAGGCGTTAGAGATGGTCAGTTAGACAGGTGTTAGAGATGGTCAGTTAGGTAGACAGGTGTTAGAGATGGTCAGTTAGACAGGTGTTAGAGATGGTCAGTTAGGTAGACAGATGTTAGAGATGGTCAGTTAGACAGGTGTTAGAGATGGTCAGTTAGACAGGTGTTAGAGATGGTCGGTTAGATAGACAGGTGTTAGAGATGGTCAGTTAGGTAGACAGGTGTTAGAGATGGTCAGTTAGGTAGACAGGCGTTAGAGATGGTCAGTTAGACAGGTGTTAGAGATGGTCGGTTAGATAGACAGGTGTTAGAGATGGTCAGTTAGGTAGACAGGTGTTAGAGATGGTCAGTTAGGTAGACAGGTGTTAGAGATGGTCAGTTAGACAGGTGTTAGAGATGGTCGGTTAGATAGACAGGTGTTAGAGATGGTCAGTTAGGTAGACAGGTGTTAGAGATGGTCAGTTAGGTAGACAGGTGTTAGAGATGGTCAGTTAGGTAGACAGGTGTTAGAGATGGTCAGTTAGGTAGACAGGTGTTAGAGATGGTCAGTTAGACAGGTGTTAGAGATGGTCAGTTAGACAGGTGTTAGAGATGGTCAGTCAGTTAGACAGGTGTTAGAGATGGTCGGTTAGATAGACAGGTGTTAGAGATGGTCAGTTAGGTAGACAGGTGTTAGAGATGGTAAGTTAGGTAGACAGGTGTTAGAGATGGTCAGTTAGACAGGTGTTAGAGATGGTCAGTTAGGTAGATAGGTGTTAGAGATGGTCAGTTAGACAGGTGTTAGAGATGGTCAGTTAGGTAGACAGGTGTTAGAGATGGTCAGTTAGACAGGTGTTAGAGATGGTCAGTTAGGTAGACAGGTGTTAGAGATGGTCAGTTAGACAGGTGTTAGAGATGGTCGGTTAGATAGACAGGTGTTAGAGATGGTCAGTTAGACAGGTGTTAGAGATGGTAAGTTAGGTAGACAGGTGTTAGAGATGGTCAGTTAGACAGGTGTTAGAGATGGTCAGTTAGACAGGTGTTAGAGATGGTCGGTTAGATAGACAGGTGTTAGAGATGGTCGGTTAGATAGACAGGTGTTAGAGATGGTCAGTTAGACAGGTGTTAGAGATGGTAAGTTAGGTAGACAGGTGTTAGAGATGGTCAGTTAGACAGGTGTTAGAGATGGTCAGTTAGGTAGACAGGTGTTAGAGATGGTCAGTTAGGTAGACAGGTGTTAGAGATGGTCAGTTAGACAGGTGTTAGAGATGGTCAGTTAGGTAGACAGGTGTTAGAGATGGTCAGTTAGACAGGTGTTAGAGATGGTCAGTTAGGTAGACAGGTGTTAGAGATGGTCAGTTAGGTAGACAGGTGTTAGAGATGGTCAGTTAGGTAGACAGGTGTTAGAGATGGTCAGTTAGGTAGACAGGTGTTAGAAATGGTCAGATGAGTAGACAATAGGGACTAGGGTTCAGTCGCTTGAAACATACAGATGTGGTGCAAATAATTCTACCCTACAGAATTTCTGATTGTTAAACGGACAAAACATTGTTGTGTAGATAACAGATGTATACAGAGTTGAAACCACGTTTAAAAATATGACACGAATAAATCAAAACAAGTGTTAAAAGCTTGACATCAACTAATTAGGCCGTTGAGATGGATACATATTAATGACCACCTTCCGTTAACGCAGACTAGTTTTGTTAAGGTTATTCGTTGTAATGTCCTCGGAGCTGTAAGTTTTATAATTAGAAACACATGAGCAACATAGCAGATTTTTTTTATAAATGTAATAAAAAAAACAGTTATATTGATATTTCTACTATTATCTAGGGTTGAAATTTTCCTTATCGTAAATTGTTCTTCAGTTGTAAACATTGTCAATTTTATTTTTAATTATTAATCTCCTTTTCGTACATGCCTGTCTGTAATAAAAATTGTAAATGTGTTCATTTTGTCTGAAATGGGATTTTGTTTTGTTGTTTCTTTGAATAGATTAATTTTATTCGTCTGAAGAGATTTTTTCCTGTTTAAATTAAACAGACTTTATCTTTGTCTGGTCAGACATTTTGTTGATTACATTCTGCACAACTCGACGGCCGAGGCTTTCCTCAACTGGACCAAGAGGACACGAGTCCCTGATGAAACATTTTTCGCTAGCCTCAACTACAACCCCCAGTTGGGGATCAAGGGGTCGTTTACAGGTCAATTACGACAAACAGTTGGGGTCGGGGCGAGGGGTGGGGTATAAAAGATTATTTACAAGTCAGAGGGATCAGGGGGGGGGGGGTGAGGTATACAAGATTATTTACAAGTCAGAGGAATCGGGGGGGGGGGGGGGTATAAAAGATTATTTACAAGTCAGAGGGATCAGGGGGGTGAGGTATACAAGATTATTTACAAGTCAGAGGAATCGGGGGGGGGGGGGAGGGTCATAAAAGATTATTTACAAGTCAGAGGAATCGGGGGGGGGGGGGTATAAAAGATTATTTACAAGTCAGAGGGATCAGGGGGGGTGAGGTATACAAGATTATTTACAAGTCAGAGGAATCGGGGGGGGGGGGAGGGTTATAAAAGATTATTTACAAGTCAGAGTGATGAGGTATCCGCCTAAAGCCAGAACAGTGATTTGCAGCCTCTCACCAAATATATTTGAACGATTGCCTGCTAGCCTGAAGGTCTAGAGTTCGGATCTCGGTTTGGACTTGTGACTGTATCACGTCACTGCGTCCACTCAGCTCTGATGGGTACCTGAAAGCTTGGGTAAAGTAAAGGCGGCTGGGCATAGTGCTGACCACACCATCCCTTCGTCAAGAAACATGTGAACTCTGCTTCATCTGCCATGTGGATAGTTTAGTAGAAAATAGGAATTTTATTTACCTAATTAATTTATTTGTTGTCAAAGGGTTTATTGAATAAATAGAGCGACAAAAGCCATGATGTACTGTTGTAAATTGTGACAACAATTCTACATTACCTGTAATGTTGATGTCAAACCGAGCTGTGACTTGTTCATCAGGTGAGCCAGACGATTTGCAGGTGTTTCTCACGCGCTACAAAATTTGGGCCGACCCATCCAGGTGTGCTGGTAAACGTTTTCAGAGATCTATCTGCATTTTATCGACCGGTGAGTTCATTGATTTACTTGATTCGGCACTAAGTACGTCTCAGTTTGCTAGCACATGTAATACATTGTGATATTCATCCATTAATTATAATATAATTAGCTAGGGCTACTACTGTTGAGGTGTATTGGCTAGTCATACATGTATGTTTTGTTAATCATTTCAGGAATTGGCTAAAGAGATTGTTGATTCATTAATTCATTCACCTCTCTCTCTCTCTCTCTCTCTCTCTCTCTCTCTCTCTCTCTCTGGTTGTGTCTTCTTTTCTCTTATACGGGCATTGTAATATTATTCATACCTATTTTCCAAGTCGACTTACATCCTTTTGACCAGGCTAAATAAATCTTACTTCCCAAAGCGAGGCTAAAGAACCATGACTCATTCTTACTTTTCAAAGCTAAGCAAAAAACTATAGTGTATTCTTCCATTCTAGAGTTTCTTCCAGGCATCTCTTCGGGGGGGGGGGGGGCATAACCCGAAAAAATTCTACCGCCCCCCCCCCCCTTCAAACGAAATGAAATTTATATAATTTATATAGAAAATATATACTTTTGACAGTGTCTGCCCCCCCCCCCCTTTCCAAAGAAAGTCTACCACCCTCCCCCCGAAAATTTCAAGTGCCCCCCCCCCCCCGGAGAATAAAGTCTGGAAGAAACACTGTTCCATTCCTAGACGACATGTATTACCTGGGCCCGGCTAAAGAACTTAATTAATGTGCCTTCATTTTCCCAGGCGACCTGCCCCATCTGGGTGAGACTAAAAAACTGTTCGCCAACAAGTTTTACCTGGAGGCTGATCGTCTGGTCATCGGCTGTCTGGAGGAGAGGCTGTCCAACCGGACACGTGACCAGTACATGGGGCGGGAACAATTTGACGTCACGTTTTACAGCAACCAAACATTCGTCACAGAACAAGTCACGTGATAGCCAAATGTAGACGAGTGAAATGGTTTTGTTGCTATTTTAGCGCAATTTCCATTCTGGAGAATTGCGTTTATTAATTCGTCATTTCTGGGAATGGATGGATGAATGAATGTATGGATGAATGTGTGTCCGGGCTTTAAGTCGTATCTCCTCCTCAACGAAGCAATATCGATGACTAGTTCCAAAGCAATTTAGTTAAGCAAGTTACGAGAATGAGCATAGGCCATAAAAATTCCGGGTTTCTTTCATGTATTTCCCGGAAAAGCCAAAAAACCTCGAAAAAACTCAGTTTTTGGCCCATATCTCGGCAACCAGACCACTTAGCGACTTGAAACATGTACCAATCGATTCCTGCCATAATTTAGAACAATATTGCCGAAGAAAGTTTTCAAAAATATCCTCTCGTTCGGTCACAAATTTTAAAATTACATAAACACCTACAAACCGATCGTTCTTCTAGCTAGAACGCACCCCAGCAATATACGTCAGAGCTATTTTTAGATAACATAAGGAAATTGCGCATAAATGTCACTAGACTTTTTTATTAACTTGTTGTATGTGATTTGGATATGCTTAAACAGGTGTTTTGATCCATACTAATCTTACCTTGGTTTCCTCTTTGATTAGATACGTATGACTAATTTAATTTTCACGGCACTACTAGAAATACGTGTAATACCTTGTTCTTGTACTTAATTTCATGTGATGTATAATATCTGTGTGTTTCCCACTGAGATTGTTAGTTTCACCAGTTTCTTCCAGGCACCTCTTCCTAACTCCGCCTTCGAAGCAAGTCTACCGCCCCCTTTCCCCCCCCCCCCCCCCCCGCTCCCGAACGAAATGGAATTTATATAGAAAATATATACGTTTAACAGTGTCCGCCATCCCCGAAACTTTCAAGTGCCCAAAAAAGTCTTGAAGAAACACTAAGTCACTAAGTTCCACATTCTCAAATCCTTGTAATGTTGTCTTTTTAAACCAGTTGCCTTTTTCAAATGTTATGTATTGTTATGAAGCTAATAAGGGTAAACAATTTAATTGAATGTCGTACCACTTTTTAAAATGACATTATAAAATGTCAAAATGTAACGTGTTGACAAAGCCAAAACAAATATTTTTTAAAATATTTTTTGTGAAATAGCATAATAAATAATGATTTGCAATTTTGTTTTATTTCTCAGTACTTTCTAATGTTTTTAATATATAAATGGAAGGTAACTATCTCAACGTTAATTCTAAATTTTTAGACATAACATTATAATCTCTGATAACACAATAATTAAAAAAAAATTCAAAAGTACAGTGTATGGCGCCAGCAGTAGCTAAGTGTATAGTGTCTGAAAGAAAACAGCAGAGCGCCCCATTAACTATCACTGCATCAATCACAAAGAAAGAACAGACCATTATCCTACTTGAAAGGGTATCCTCTATAATTATTGGCTTATTTCGTCCGTCACGTTCCTAACTCAACAATATTTACCTATATTTTTGTTTAGACATTTATAGCTACCATGATTACCTTGGCAGCAAGATCAGCAAAACGGGAGGCACAGAGGAGGACATACGCGCTAGAGTTAATAGAGCCCGCTGCGCTTTCACAGTCCTGCGACCCATATGGAAAAGTTCGGCCATCACCATTACCACAAAAATTAGGATATTTAGCTCTAATGTCAAGGCAGTTCTGCTGTATGGAGCAGAGACATGGAGAGTCTCCAAGGCAAGCACAGCAAAGATACAGACCTTCATGAATAGATGCCTTAGACAGATACTGAAACTGAGATGGCAGGACAAAGTGTCGAACTTGGAACTATGGAGGAAAGCTAAGCAGGAGCCTATGGGTGTGCAAATAAGAAGGAGGAAGTGGCGCTGGGTGGGTCACACACTGCGAAAGGCTCACACAGATGTTACACGCCAAGCGCTTGAGTGGAACCCCCAGGGAAAGCGGGAGAGAGGGCGCCCAAGACAGACCTGGAGGCGGAGTCTTCTTGAAGAACTGAAGCCAACAGGGATGTCTTGGGAGATGTCAAAATTAATAGCCGAGGATAGGAAGAAATGGAAGGAAATGGTGGAGGCCCTATGCTCCATAAGGAGCAAAGAGGACTAAGTGTGTGTGTGTGAAGCTACCATGATACAAATATGTCTAAAACTGATATTACTTTGTATAATCGAATCGAACATTGTTTTATACATTTTGAAAAATTATTAAATTATAAGTAAATAATCTTTTTTAAAAAATACCATATATATAGCACATTTTCTCATATATAACAAACTTGATATCGGTTAAAGGGAAATTACCCCGAAGAAGAGTTATCTGTATATTATTTATTTGAAGTTTTAGACCCAAAAAAATGTAATGTGGGATTAATAACGCAAATAGACTAAGACCATAATGTCCTTCGACAAAATGGTGCAGAACCTCTCAACTAACTCGCCCTGAATACACGATTCATGTAAGGTATTTTCAATTTTAAAAATAACTATTCTTTTATTATAGGCTACTTTTATTTTTCATAAATTGAAATAACCCTTCTCTTTATTTACTCTTAAACCGAAACCGTCCAAACTAAAGATATATACAGCAAATAATTATGATAGTTTCTTAATACTCCTCCCCGTAGATGTAAAGTTCCCCTTTAAAAACCGGACGGTCTATGAGGCAAGTGAAGTAGAGTACACCTGTTTCTGTGACCTCGGCATATGAAGAAATAGTATGGTCAGCATTATGCTCGGCCACCTTGCGTTAGTTAGGAACTCATCAGGGACTCAGGACAGTCTACTGACTTGAAGCAGTCGAGCTCTGTACTACTAGGTCACTTCTTACCCACTCTCTTAGAAGATTGCATAATTATTTTCTGCTTAATTAAGTAATATTACGACAATTATAAGATGTATATATTTTTATGTATTTGCTAATATGTTTTGTTTGTTTTTATTGAATACTATCTTAATTTGCATCTCACTATATCTAGTTTAGTGGGCAATTATTAACAAACATGGAAAGTGTGTTCTGTTCCCCTATTTGGCCTGTGTTATCCTTTGCGACACTGTCAGTGTGCTGACACATTCGTTAACACGTGTGTCCAATGCTTGCTCATTAAAATATAATCAATTTCTCGATCCATGCGTTAATCGTTAATTACCCATTAATTAACATGTCCGTGTTGACGCGCGGCCTAAACTGAGCAGGTTAACCAGATGTGCGAGGACAAAAAGTTGTTTCAATGTTCGCGAGTTGTTTTTTTTTAATACTTTTTTTATCATAAATGACATTTTATCTTCTATACTGTTGGTTATTCAGGGGCAAGACTGTTGAACTGTGGTATTTCTAATAGTGATTTGTTGAACTTTGGTATTTCTAATGGTAATTTGTTGAACTGTGGTATTTCTAATAGTGATTTGTTGAACTGTGGTATTTCTAATAGTGATTTGTTGAACTGTGGTATTTCTAATAGTGATTTGTTGAACTGTGGTATTTCTAATGGTAATTTGTTGAACTGTGGTATTTCTAATAGTGATTTGTTGAACTGTGGTATTTCTAATGGTAATTTGTTGAACTGTGGTATTTCTAATAGTGATTTGTTGAACTGTGGTATTTCTAATGGTAATTTGTTGAACTGTGGTATTTCTAATAGTGATTTGTTGAACTTTGGTGTTTCTAATGGTAATTTGTTGAACTGTGGTATTTCTAATGATAATTTGTTGAACTGTGGTATTTCTAATGGTGATTTGTTGAACTGTGGTATTTTTATTGGAGATTTGTTGAACTGTGGTAATCCTATTGGTGCTCAACTAGAAATGATGTTGTGTTTAATTGTCTCTGCTGTTTATTTACACCTGTCGAAATATGGAGCTAGTTGAAGGACATCTTTAGAAACGTGTTTAACATTTTGTTTTGAATATGAAGTATATGAGTAAAGTAGTTATCCACTTGGGTGTGTACTTCATCGTACTTTGGTGTGTTTATTGGTGCCTTATAGGTCAAATAATGGAGGGGCAGGATATAAATAGACACGAACGTCATAATGGACCGGGACGGGAGAGTCAGGGTGAAAATACAGGGGAAAGTCGGGATAAAAATACAGGGGAAAGTCGGGACAGAAATATAGGAGAAAGTCAAGATAAAAATATAGGGGATGGTCAGGATAAACACACAGAGAAAACTCAGGATAAAAATAGAGAGGAAAGTGAAGATAAAAACAACGAAACTTCAGCGTTGCTAGAAAACAGGTTAACACCAGCCCAACAAATGCTTGGAGGAGTTGCTGTTCAGTACAAAGTTGGTGTTGCAGATTGTCGTGAGGCCTTCTCCAGGCAATTTGATTTTAACGAAGTTAACCTTTTGAATAGTAAACTTTCAGGTTCGTACTTGGGCAACAAATTTTACAAACAGGCCACGAAAAATTGTTCGTATTTTATACAATCTCGAGGTTATATAACCCATCATTTATCAGAAGATGAACGGAATTTCCCGATTGCTTATTCTATTTTGGTTTTCAAAAACGCCGAAATGGCGGAGAGGCTTCTCCGGGCTATTTATAGACCGCAGAATTACTACTGCATCCACGTTGATAAAAAGTCCCCTCGTCCGTTTTACGAGGCGATGGTTGGTATAGCCGGTTGTTTTAGTAACGTTTTCTTGACGGCCAGAAGAGTGGATGTGCGCTGGGGGACGTACAGTGTGCTGGAGCCGGAGCTGCTGTGTATGCAGGAGCTGTGGAGGTTCAGGAGCTGGAGGTACTTCATCAACCTGACGGGGCAGGAGTTCCCGCTCAGGACAAACTACGAGCTGGTCAAGATCCTGCGGGCGTTGAATGGGAGTAATGACGTCACGGGCTCGCTGAAACAGTAAGGCAACATTCATGTCGTGAGATATTTTTGTGCAGTTCGGTACCGTGTAATGTGGCGTTGGTCGATCTTTTATTTGTTAAGCTTTAGATTTTTTGTGATCTTGAAAGTAACTATCACAATGGATCAATGGTTACAATAGATCAATGAAACAGGAAATAATAAAGGTTACCCGAGGCTACTTAAACTTCTCATATAACGTTTTCAAATGTTGCGGTTTTCTCACGTGAGCATCTCGTTTAGTGTTAGGAGACGATAATTGATACGTGATCGTATGATTGTTGATGCAAATATCCCGAGTTAAGACCCCCGGGCAAGTATTCTCTTTAGCTTGAGACAGCAACCCTTATAAGGGGAGTAAACTCTAAAATCAAACAGCTGCTGCTAGATCATCTTTGGTGAACTAAAACAAATGAAATATATTTTAAAAAGCAGCATGAAATACTTAATTACCGAGCATGAAATCCCTCTGGAATGTCAACAAGAACGATGAAAGAATGTTTTGTGATTTTTTTTTTTCATTGTTATCTTCATCTTCTGTTAGTTTTAGTTTTAATGGTTCAGGATTACATTTGATGTAAAGTGTTTTCCGAGTTAGACAGGCTTATATTAGATGTTGAAAGTAATATTTTCATTATCTTTATTCAACAATGTAACATTGGTTAGTTATGTCAATAATGTATAGGAACAATTCTAACATTTGCTACATTTTCAACACTTTTATTCTTACAATTAAAGACAATTTTAGATAAGTTAATTTAGTCTATACTGTAATGATACAATTTTGGATAGGTTTAGTATGTCTATACTGTAATGATACAACTATACCATTTGCTACCCAGCAACTTCACCAAGCGATGGAGGGGTACTAAACCACCACATGGTATTCGTCCAGTCAAGGGCTCGGTACATATAACTGTAAACAGGTAAGCTGAGATGGGAATGTGTAACATCTAGACTACCAAACGCTTACAGGTAAGTTCAGGTGGGGCTATATAACACATATACTACGAAACAACATAGACCATTGTTATAAATTTCACCCAATTATTGTATGTAACAAAAAGATAATTAATTTTACGATCAATGCTTCGTGTAAGAAAGTTCAGATGGAGCAGAGTTATGAGTTTCTTTAATCATTGTGTACATGACTTGATTATCACAGTTTTGTCAATTATTACATTTTGAAATAAATCAATTAGTCTGTAAAAGTCAAGTGTTAAAAATAATTATTGCAACAGACACAGACACACAAACACACAGACACACAAACACACAGACACACAAACACACAGACACACAAACAAACACACAGACACGCAAACAAACACACAGACACACAAACACACAGACACACAAACACAGACACACAAACACACAGACACACAAACAAACACACAGACACACACACACATAAAAGTAGTACTACCCAGTAGGGTCAACATCTACCTCGTATAATGCCTCAGATTTCCTACCGACGGCCAGGCCTATGATACAGCGCATGCGCGTATTTTTAATAACACTACAATTTAAGCCTCATTGATCATTTTTTGTGATGCAAACATATAGATCTAGTGAATACTTTATGAAACATTCTGATAGAAACATATAGATTTAGTACATACTTAATGAAACAGTCAGATACAAACATATAGATCTAGTACACACTTTATGAAACATTCTGATACACACATATAGATCTAGTGCAGGGGTCGGCAACCTGCGGCTCGCGAGCCGCATGCGGCTCTTTTGATGTCAAGATGCGGCTCTTCAGCTCCTTGCACAAATATTAAAAGTTACATTATTTCATTTTCAAAACTCGCAGCGAATATTATACTGTAAAGAAACTCAACTTTAAACAGGATTAAAACACTCATCAGATAACAGTGAGAATAGGTGCAGTAGAAAGTGTACGGACAGCTGACAGTAGCCGTGCTGCGACCCGCTCCGTGGCAAGAATTCAATGCTTGCCACTGCATTTCCCTATCTGTCAGTAATAATTAATTTGACCTGAGTGACGTAGTTTTTTTTTTGGTTATTAGCTTCCTACGGTAGAGTTTACCCTGCATTCAGTGAGGTGGAAGATAAGTCTAGTGAGAACCAAAGGACAGACGCGACCGATACACGGGAATCAAACCAAAACAGCCGGAATTTGTCATCCGTCAAGAAAGAAAAAGAAAAAGTTAACATCTTCTAAAGTTGATTTCGATAGTCATATACTTATATTATTTGATTACTAAGGTTAATATTCTGCCAAAACATGTATGTTTTTATATGAATACATATTATTTCATATTAAATGGTATTTTTTAAAAATAACATTTACAATGTATGTACCTAATCGTGATCAAATACCAAATATTGAAAAACAAATGTTAGTGGCTCTTTAAAAACTGGGAAATTTTGAAATAGTAACATTTGGCTCTTCCGTCTCAAAAGGTTGCCGACCCCTGATCTAGTGAATACTTTAAGAAACAGTAGCACTTTGCTAAAATACATTGAAAAACCAATAATTAGAAAATAACATGAGTTGCTTCCCTTTGAATAAACCACAGATTTATCTCCCCTCACCAGACATTTTGTTGACTATATCCTCCACAACGAGACAGCCCGAGACCTGCTCAACTGGACCAGACACACGGACCTGCCGGACGAGACGTTCTTTGCTACACTCAACTTCAACCCCCAGCTGGGCATTAGGGGAACTTTCAATGGTAGGTTGGTTCAGTGGTAGCTTGGTTCAGTGGTAACATGGTTCAGTGGTAACATGGTTCAGTGGTAACTTGGTTCGGTGGTAACATGGTTCAATGGTAACTTAGTTCAGTGGTAATATGGTTCAATAGTAATTTGGTTCAGTGGTATTTTAGTTTGTAACTTGATGGGTAAGTTGATTCTGTGATAACTTGGTTCAATGGTAACTTGGTTCAGTGGTATTTTAGTTGGTAACTTGGTTTAGTGGTAACATGGTTCAATGGTAAATTGATTCAGTGGTAAATTGGTTCATTGGTAACCTAAGATTATCGCCTTACCACTGAGATTATCGCCTGACCCTTGGGATTATTACCTAAATATTTTTAAAAAATCGCCTGATTACTGAGATTATTCCCTGATTACTGAGATTATCCCCTGACTACTGGGATTATCACCTGCCCACAGGTGATCCAGAGACCCGGTCCTACATCAGCCGCTACAAGATCTGGTACAGCAACACAGCAAGATGTGCCTGGCGGTTTGTCAGGAGAGTCTGTGTTCTTACTACGGGTGAGTCTTGTTCTCACATGTCCTGTCCTCACCTGTCCTGTCCTCACCTATCTAGTCCTCACCTGCAGTGGCGTAGCGAGGTCTGGTGTCACCCGGTGCAGCACTTAATGGTGTCACCCAAACTTTCTATTTGCACCCCCCCCCCCCTCAAACTTTCGATTTGCACCCCCCCCCTCAAATTTTTCTCTCTATATTTTACTTGGTGTCACCCCACTAAATGGTGTCACCCGGTGCGGTCCGCACCCCCCCCCCCCCCCCCGCCCCCCTCGCTACGCATCTGCTCACCTGTCCTGTCTTCACCTGTCTTCACCTGTCCTGTCTTCACCTATCTAGTCCTGACTTGTCCTTACCTCTCCTCAACTATCTTATCCTCACCTGTATTCACCTGTTTTCATTTCTACTCTCCTTGATGTTTTAAAAATTGTTGACAAGCGAGATATACTTTCAAGGTAAGTTTTATATCAAGCTTTTAAAACCTTTTTGTCACCAATTATCCAGGTGACTGACCCTCATAGGAAACCCCATTCTAGTTTGAGATAACCATTTTAATTTTTCTATTAATCCAGGTGATCTGCCACTTCTAGAACATTCCAAGCATCTGTTCGCCAACAAATTTTATCTCCACACTGACCGGCTGGTCATCGGCTGTCTGGAGGAGAAGTTGTTCAACACGTCACGTGATCAGGCTCTGGGACTCCTGGAGTTTGATGCAGGGTACTACAGGAGGTTACAGTCTGTCATTAGTCAAGTTGTTTGACTGTCATAAGTAACGTTGTTTGATTGTCAAGTTGTTTGACTGTCATCAGTCAAGTTGTTTGACTGTCATCAGTCAAGTTGTTTGACTGTCATCAGTCAAGTTGTTTGACTGTCATCAGTCAAGTTGTTTGACTGTCATCAGTCAAATTTTTTGAAAGTCTGTCATAAGTCAAGTTGTTTGACTGTCATCAGTCAAGTCGTTTGACTGTCATCAGTCAAGTTGTTTGACTGTCATCAGTCAAGTTGTTTGACTGTCATCAGTCAAGTTGTTTGATTGTCAAGTTGTTTGACTGTCATCAGTCAAGTTGTTTGACTGTCAAGTTGTTTGACTGTCAAGTTGTTTGACTGTCAAGTTGTTTGACTGTCAAGTTGTTTGACTGTCATCAGTCAAATTGTTTGACTGTCAAGTTTTTTGACTGTCAAGTTGTTTGACTGTCAAGTTGTTTGACTGTCATCAGTCAAGTTGTTTGACTGTCAAGTTGTTTGACTGTCAAGCTGTTTGACTGTCATCAGTCAAGTTGTTTGACTGTCATCAGTCAAGTTGTTTGACTGTCATCAGTCAAGTTGTTTGACTGTCATCAGTCAAGTTGTTTGACTGTCATCAGTCAAGTTGTTTGACTGTCATCAGTCAAGTTGTTTGACTGTCATCAGTCAAGTTGTTTGATTGTCAAGTTGTTTGACTGTCATCAGTCAAGTTGTTTGACTGTCATCAGTCAAGTTGTTTGATTGTCAAGTTGTTTGACTGTCATCAGTCAAGTTGTTTGACTGTTATTAGTCAAGTTGTTTGACTGTCATCAGGCAAGTTGACTGTCATCAGTCAAGATGTCCATTCCCTTACTATGACGTCAAAGATGTCCCACCTTGTTATAATGGACGAATAGGTGTGTATTGACGGGACATCAGTAATTGTATTACGTAGTGCGATTGTGTTTTGTCAAAATAATGAGGAATATATATGAATATGAATATTTGTGTGAATCTTTATTTCACGGAAGTTATACCTTATGGATTCATTTAGAGTACGGATTTGTGTTGAATCCTTATATTAAATATTTGTAATTAAAATATTTATAGATGTTCATGTTCTGGTGTTTAATTTCGTACCAAACACGTTGCGAGTGTATTACTGGCATACTCACCGTGTCAGCTCTGGTTGTCTGATTGTATGTCGGTCATCATTCAGCTTGAAAGTCAGGTTGTTCAAAAATCTGTTGTAAGTTCAACGTTTTCAAAATCGAAGTTATTTTTTAAGGGTGGTGGATGTTTTTGTCAAAATGTGTTACATCACGTCATCAAACTCGACATATTAGCATATGTCCATGCGACCAGAGATATTTCAGTATATGATGTAGCCTACTGTTGTACTTTTTGAATTTTATTTTTGTTTCGACATTCGGTACCATATAAAAAATATATTCGGTTCCATATATATCATATATAAAAAAAGTAACGCTCGCTAACAATAGCTATGTCAAAAGTATATTTCTTGTTTTGTATGATATATGTCACTTAATTGTAAAGGTTTTTTTTTTAATTATTTCGTAGGGACGCAGGGAGATGGAATTAAGTGAATTGCCACCATTTGTACTATATTGACTGGCTTGTTGGCTTGTTAAGATTTTGCATTCAGCTATTATTAAATGCTACCAATAAATGCTTGCCTACATGTATAGTATATGTTTATTTCTATCATGAAATGCTCTGTCAATGCTTGCATACATCTATAATATATGTTTGCATTATGTTACACTCATTAAATGCTAACAATAAATGCTAGCATACGTGTATTGTATGTTTATTACTGTCATTAAATTGTCTCTATCAATGTTTGCATATGTTTGCACTATATTACTCTCATTAAATGCTACCAATAAATGCTTGCATACGTGTGTAGTATATGTTTACATTGTAATTAGATGAGAGCGAATATAGATAGAATATACACCTCAACATAATTTTCTAATGAGACGATAAAGAAAGTGTGAAGGCAAATGTAATCAATAACATCAATATTTTATTGTTTGGGTGTAAATGATGAAACACATTGAAAAGGTGAAGTTGGCAGATACACTCAACATAAAACATATAATGTTGGTGCTTTTGTATGTATTATGAGGAAAAATTTTTGGGAGTTATCACATTTTGAAACAAATGTAGGCATCTTTACAATTTAAATATTTTAGTATTTTAACATAATCATGTCTTAGACATTGAAAGCATGTTTTATAAATAATAATCTAAAGATGTAAATAAATGCACTGAAATTATATATAAAAACACAAAACACACACACGCACACACATATATATATATATATATATATATATATATATATATATATATATATATATATATATATATATATATATATATATATATATATATATATATAATCCTCATATAAGTGTATAAATGTAGGCATATATGCTTATTTGTATAGTTTAATATAAACATTAAAGAATATAAGAAATTATGGAATGTTTTGAAATGGAATCCAATAACAAAGTGCTAAAATTGGCATTTTAGGTTTTTTTCATCAGTTTCTTGATTATTATTTCATTTTCTTTACCTTTCTCTCTCTCTTTCTGTCACTCTGTCCGTCTGTCTCTCCTCGCTTTCTTTGTCTCTTTCTCTTCCTCTCTCTCTCTCTCTCTCTCTCTCTCACTCTCACGGCTTCTTTTCCAAACTTTTCATATCTTTTGTCCATCCTTTGTTTATGTCATCTCTCTCTTCAGAGATGAAAACCAATCTATCAATTAAATCATCTACACTCACGTCAATAAAATCACCAATACGCACGTCACAACAATCACATAAATGGACATCAATAAGTCGACTACATTTAAAACAATGAAATCACATACGCGCACATCAACAAAATTATATAAACGCACATCAATAGAATCACGTACTCGCACATCAAAAAATCACGTACACGCTCATCAATAAAATCACAACCCGCACACAAAATCACCTACACATACGTGAACACAACACATCAACCCATGTCCTGTGTGCTACGTCACCTGGTTTTTCACAAAGCCCAGCTGAGCATAATGCGTGACGTTAAACGTCTGTAGACCCAGCAGCTCGTCCCTCGTGGCGTTCATCAGCTTCTCCTCCAGGCAGCCGATAACCGTGAAGTCCTCCCACAGGTAGAACTTGTTGGCGAACAGCTGTTTGGCTGTCCCGAGTTGGGGGAGGTCGCCTGGTTGAGGATAGCGTACTCGTGTGAGACACACAGTGCATGTGTTTGTTGTGGTGTCTTTTGGACTACGTTATAATGGGCTATTAGTGGTCTGCGTGTGAAGTTATTTTGCCTACGTTATATCTGGGTCTTGTGGTTGTATTGGTTACGTTATAACTAGTGTGGTTGATTCGACTATGGCGTAGTGTAGTACTGGGGTTGATTAGACTATGATGTAGTGTAGTACTGTGGTTGATTAGACTATGGCATAGTGTAGTACTGTGGTTGATACGACTATGGTGTAGTGTAGTACTGTGGTGGATTAGACTATGGCATAGTGTAGTACTGTGGTTGACTAGACTATGATGTAGTTTAGTACTGTGGTTGATTAGACTATGATGTAGTTTAGTACTGTGGTTGATTAGACTATGATGTAGTTTAGTACTGTGGTTGATTAGACTATGATGTAGTGTAGTACTGTGGTTGATTAGACTATGATGTAGTGTAGTACTGTGGTTGATTAGACTATGGCATAGTGTAGTACTGTGGTTGATACGACTATGATGTAGTGTAGTACTGTGGTGGATTAGACTATGATGTAGTGTAGTACTGTGGTTGATTAGACTATGATGTAGTGTAGTACTGTGGTTGATTAGACTATGGCATAGTGTAGTACTGTGGTTGATACGACTATGGTGTAGTGTAGTACTGTGGTGGATTAGACTATGGCATAGTGTAGTACTGTGGTTGACTAGACTATGATGTAGTTTAGTACTGTGGTTGATTAGACTATGATGTAGTTTAGTACTGTGGTTGATTAGACTATGATGTAGTTTAGTACTGTGGTTGATTAGACTATGATGTCGTGTAGTACTGTGGTTGATTAGACTATGATGTAGTGTAGTACTGTGGTTGATTAGACTATGGCATAGTGTAGTACTGTGGTTGATACGACTATGATGTAGTGTAGCACTGTGGTGGATTAGACTATGATGTAGTGTAGTACTGTGGTTGATTAGACTATGATGTAGTGTAGTACTGTGGTTGATTAGACTATGATGTAGTGTAGTACTGTGGTTGATTAGACTATGATGTAGTGTAGTACTGTGGTTGATTAGACTATGGCGTAGTGTAGTACTGTGGTTGATTAATCTATGATGTAGTTTAGTACTGTGGTTGATTAGACTATGATGTAGTGTAGTACTGTGGTTGATTAGACTATGATGTAGTGTAGTACTGTGGTTGATAAGACTATGATGTAGTTTAGTACTGTGGTTGATTAGACTATGGTGTAGTGTAGTACTGTGGTTGATTGACTTGGTTATAATATAAGTGTAGAACCGGAGTGTGGATGTAGGAACTACATAAGTATTGTATTATTGGGCAATATTCAGATACCCTAAAAATATGCCAAAGGTTCTTATAGGTTGGATTCTTTAAAATCCCGTATAGTTCCTTGTCTTCATCCACTTATATCCTCTAAAAAAAAGAATTCTTTGCCTCCCTTTTATAAATTCATACACAGCCTTATGTAAACAAAGTTTTCCCCTTTTATACTCATGCCCTAATAAAACTCGGTTATTCCCCTTTATACACTAACATCTCTGCAAAAAAATCTCAGTTCTTCCCCTTAATAATATCAGATTCTTAAGATTAATCAGTTCTTTCCCTTATACTATAATACTATTTCCATATTGAACTCAATCGTTTATTTGTCTAAATATATTGGCGTTATCCAATCTTTTACTTGGTTTAACCGATAGAAGATAAGAAATTTCTCACAATGTCATAACACACTAATTACACACTAATTATAAACACACACTTCAACTCACACACATTAACTAACACACCTTCTGATCGCCTAACATACACTCACACAAACTTTCACTGACACACACTTTCACCTACACACACCCACCTACACTCACACACACACACTTTCACTCACACATTCTTTCACTCACTCACACACACACACCTAAACTCACACACATTTTCACTCACACATTCTTTCACTCATACACACACACACTTTATCTCACACACACACTCCACACACACTTTCACTCATACACATATTTTCCCACCCACACACACACTTTCACTCACACAAAACGCAATGGCCCTACTAATGACATGTCAAGATTTATATTGATTTCCTTGTAAATATTTTCACACAAACCCCCGTCAACAAGCAAGCACCAATTTCGAAAAAAAAACAATTATTACGTTAAAAGATATAAACCTTAGTTGTTTATTTTACTAATATAAGACAAACATTGGTTAAACTGCCCTTAGTAATAAACTGAAGTATAATATAAACATGATTTAACTTTACAGGTATACTTTCAGATAAAATCATGATTTTCCTGAAACACTACCTGTTCAAATGATGATTTACCTGTTGAGAGAATACAAATTCCCCTGACAAAGTTCCCTGCACAGTTAGCCTTGAATGGTTCCGACCCCCAGTTTTTGAACCTCGTGAGGAAAGGTTTGACCAACGAATCAGCCGATTCGGTTTCAGGATCACCTGCCAACACATACGATAGAGCTGGGATTTTATTTGTAGCTTTTCACTATATCTTGGATTCGTAGTACGAATATTGATTCGAGTCTCGAACACATTTATTTTTTATTTTACTCCATGTGTGTAAGTTGATCATACATACACACACACACACATATATATATATATGTATAATGTGTGTATATATATATATATATATATATATATATGTATGTGTGTGTGTATGTGTGTGTGTGTGTGTGTGTTGAAACATGTATAACCTGTACATAAATTTATAGCATATATATATATATATATATATATATATATATATATATATATATATGTGTATATATATATATATATATATATATATATATATATATATATATATATATATATATATATATACCGCATTTAACTCTGCTGTAAAATAATGTCTTCCTGGTTAAGGCTGTGTTTTTGTTGTACCGTGATATTAAATTTCCCGTCACCCAGCCAACAGGTACTGTGTAAGCACCACAACAAAGGCCAAACATTTCTTAGAAAACTGAACAAAATACATAGAGGGGGGGGGGGTGTGATGAGACTATTTTCTGTCAATTTATCATTTGAATGCCGCTTACAAAAGGCGCTATTTCCCCCCCCCCCCCGTGTGTTCAGGTGCGTGCACCATGTGACCAAGACGGACCAATGGTTACCTTTGTAACTTCCGCGTATGCCCAGCTGTGGGTTGTGGTTGAGGGTGGCAAAAAACGTCTCGTCGGGAATTCCCGTGCCCCTGACCCATTCTAGAAGCTCCTTGGCCGTGTCGTTGTGCAGGATGTAATCAACGAAATCCCTGGGGGGTCAAGTTACGATATATGTAATACAATATCTGGGAATAGGCATAAGTTTGTGATTTCGTGTACAAAATACCTGGGGATACATATTAGGTTATATAATCAATAAAATCCATAGGGATAAAGATTCGACTTAAGTCAACTAAATTAGAACAGTTATCGAAAATAATTTGAATTTCAATTACGGTATTATCGATGAAAATTATTAAGATAAAATCAATTATTAAGATAAAATCAATTATTAAGAAAAAATAAATTAATCTCAGGTGATAAAGAAATAGTTAAAAAGTCACAGGTGATACTGCCCGAGATTCAATAAACAAAACCTGGATAGAAATTAGAATTTAATCAACAACAAACTCAACGAAATGAAATAAAAACAACAATCAAAAGAAAATTTCCTTTCTTCAACTGATGAACTAAGGTTAATGAGCTATAATGATCAGCTTTATCTATTTAATTCGCTTTCGTGGATACTTAAAAACAGCCTGAAAAACATGATACCATACACATAATTGTTTCGTATCACATGCACGGAGTTAATTGCTTTCAACTTTTATGTTAAGGCTGTGTTGCTATTAAAATCAATAAATTGATTGAAGCATCAAGATAATGTAAACAAGATTAAATAAAGTAACGTAGGAAGGGTTTAGGCTTTAATGAAATAGCAATTAAAGTTGTGTTGTTTTTTTTAAATAGGTAAAGAGTTGTAACACTGTTTTAAAAAGCAACTTGGATAAAGACGTAGAAGTGAGCGCTGTTAATGAATGGTGCACATTTTGTGCACAGATTTTGCTCATATCACTAACAAATACGTGTATGACCAACCAATACTAACCATATAGTGGTATGTGCATTTCTATAGACCAACACCAACTCATACTATACAACATTTCTAAGAGCCGGCTCTCTCTCTCCAAACACACATACACACATTCATATACACATACACACACTCACATACACAAAAATCACAACACAATGTTATTCGGTACTAAAAAAAAATGAGATTAGCTTAAGCAAGCTATGGGAATATCTTTTAGAGAAAATCATTTTTTAAATTAGAAACAATTTCTAAGCTTCATTTTGTTATTGTTTTAAACAAGGAAATATAGAAACCCTCTCGTTTATTAAAACACGTGCTATATTCCCCGACAAAATCGTGTCAAAACTACCATCAAACTTGTTTTTTTTTTATCGGCGGCTTGGGGAGTTAATTTTTTAAACTGTAACGCTGTCATGTAACATGTCCACAAAATTTCAACCAGATATTTATTGTAAAATGTTACCTGAATGTCATTAAAAAATGTAATGTAATATGATCACAAAATGTAATTTTTAAAAATGTAGAATGTTCCCTCAATGTCATATGCACTAAATGTCATCAAGAAATCCCTAAATGTCATATGTTTTAGCATGTTCACAAAATGCTATTGAGAAATGTATTCTAATATGTTCCCCAAATATTATTAAGAAATGTATTGTAACATATTTTCAAAATGCTATCTTTTCAAAAAAATATGTAAGTAATAGTAAGTTGCAAAAAATGATCTAATGGAAAAAACGACTTTTTTTTAAATTCATGATGAACTTTAAATCAAATCTTACCTTTGATATTGTTTCTTTTCACTAAAACGGTAATTAATTTAACAATTATTTAATTACTTTAAATAATCAGGTACAAATTAATGACTTAAAATGTGTCTTCTAACAAAATTATTTATAATTTGACATACATAATGTTATGATTGAGTCTATTATTGATGCTAGTTGGTTATCTACCCCAGATAAAATAAATAAAATTATATAATTAAACTTATCATGAAACGCTCTGCTGCAGATATATTATTTTGGAAAAACTAATGGTGTTTCCGTCAATGTGAATTATTTAACACTTTTCAAGAAGAGACGTAAAATATTGGTGGTGTTGAAAATCACGGAAAAGATTAGCGCTGTTGCTTATCGCCTCTCCTACATTGAACTCACCGATGTTCTAAATCAGGGGTCTCCAAACTACGGCCCGCGGGCCAGATGCGGCCCGCGATGTCCTCTCATCCGGCCCGCGGAGATTTTTTTGTCCACAGAAAAAAACGTTTGTTGTTGATGGCTGAGGAACTTTGCCCAGAAAAATCAAAGACATGCCTGAAAGAACCTGGCCCCCGAACTGAAATTTGATAGTTAATGCGGCTCTCGGACTGAAAAGTTTGGAGACCCCTGTTCTAAATATATACTGGGAGACACAAACAATGTTACCTGTTGGCTATGACGTGTACCGATCCTTTGACTGGCCTCAACCCCCGGGGAGGTGTCTTGTTGTTCCATCTGTCCTTATTGGCTCTGTTGGGTGGTGGTTAAAAGAACATGAAGAACATCAAATAGAACACATTGGACATTGAATAGAACATAAAGGACATTGAATAGAACATAGAGGACATTGAATAAAACATAGGGGACATTGAATAGAACATAGAGGACATTGAATAGAACAGAGGGGACATTGAATAGAACACAGGGGACATTGAATAGAACATAGGGGACATTGAATAGAACATAGGGGACATTGAATAGAACATGGAGGACATTGAATAGAACATAGGGGACATTGAATAGAACATAGGGGACATTGAATAGAACACATGGGACATTGAATAGAACATAGAGGACATTGAATAGAACATAGGGGACATTAAATAGAACATAGAGGACATTGAATAGAACGTAGAGGACATTGAATAGAACATAGGGGACATTGAATAGAACACAGGGGACAATGAATAGAACACAGGGGACATTAAATAGAACACAGGGGACATTGAATAGAACACAGGGGACATTAAAAAGAACACAGGGGACATTGAATAGAACATAGGGACATTGAATAGAACATAGAGGAAATCAAATAGAACACATGGGAAATTGAATAGAACACATGGGACATTGAATAGAACATAGAGGAGTCAAATAGAACTTAGGGGACATTAAATACATAAGGGACATCAAAAAGAAAACAGAGGACATCAAATTAAATAGAACCTAGAGAACGTTAAATACACGGAGGACATCAAATTCAAAATAGAGGACATCAAATAGAACATTAAATAAAATATTGAAAGCATCTAATAGAACATAGAGGACACTAAATAGAACACAGGGGACATCAAACAGAACATATAGGACATTAAATATAATACAGAGGAAATCAAGTAGAACATAGAGGACATCGAACAGAACATATCGTGTCCATGATAAAATATCACATTGTAGCTGTTTGTTGACGATGTAATTAGATCGATACACGCTCGATGCTGATATTATTGCATGTGCATACTGATCGATTTGGTACCTGCCTTTTTACACACTATTCATATTTTCTTCTTTTTTCTTCCTTTTTGATTAGTTTTTTTAGACTACTGTTATATTTCCTCTCATATTACATGCATGTAATGTTGTTGTTTGTTTTTTTATTTAATTTCCCACAAGTAATTACTTTCCTACCGATACATTTACCACGGTCTGCTTAAAGCTAGCAATAAATTTGTCATAATCCTTCGACAGATTAATCCTAGCTTCAATCTCTAGACGAATCTGTTTCTTTGATTAAATGAGACAAACATATTAAGTTTGTAGCTCTGATACGTCTGTTTGAGTCTAATATCCAAGCATAGATAAAGCATGCATTGATCGAAAATCACAGGGCTTAAAGCCAATGATGTAAAGTTCTAAAGGAAGCCCTAATGCATTCAGTACGCCATCAATTTTTAAGTGTACAATTTAGTCGACAGCGTGAAAACACAAATCGTGGTGCATTGATAAAACATAATTAAATTACAAAAAGGATGTTGTCGAGAAAACACGTTCTTAAAAATGAAAGATTAACCTTGTTTTTTTTTTCAATAAGGAACTTTATTTAATGTTGAATAAAAAATACAAAAAATACAAAAATGATGTACAGGGAAGTAACTAGTCCAAACATGATATTGTCAGATGAGACGTGGCCTTCAAGTCTGTCAGGTACCCACCCAATCCAGACAACAAGATATAATCGTACTGGGCGTTGTTGTTTCTTTTGTATTGCTCTACTTGAGGGGGAGAATCCCAGAAACTCCACGAGAATAAAATATGGATAATTGCTCAAGACGAACCCCCTGCAGTTTTCACATTACAAATATCTATTTGAATGAAAATTTGATAATTTCATCTGTCAACAAAATAAACCTTGGTGTACGCCTACACGTATTCCCCATATAGTTTGTTTCAATGAAGACACTACAGTATATCTATTGTAAGTATTGTGTGAATATAGCTAAGGCTCCTTAAAAAATCTTAGATATTACTTTTTAAAAATATTTACTTTAAAAAATGTTCAGAAATTTGCAAGCAACACATTATCCAAATCTAAAACTTTACTTTCTGTAACTTCTGCCAGGGTATAGACATGATGTTATCAAAAACTCTATATCACAACAGCGTCGGTTTGAAGGTTATTGTTTTTAAATTTTATAACATTTAACATCAAGTAATATATATTGATAAAACTAAAAATGCAAGAAAATACAACCAAAATTGGGGCACGATGAAACATTTATGTAGTACTGGATAGCACTTAACTAGAGTTACACGACAGATGAGATAAATGACATGTGTAATATGTCAGGTTATATCGTGATATATTGGTTAAGGTATGGTGTTATACATTTCTTTTTTTGTTTTTGTTTTTTTGTAAAATTTCTGCAGTTTAGAATGTCGATAATTAAGTGTTAGCGCGTGTTTACGTGATTTTTTTTCAGCTTAATAACATGTTACATTGTTGTTTGTTACAAGTTTTTCTTCAATGATTCCAGGTTTTATTTTAAACACCACGGCATCTTTTAGCACTTAAAGTTTTGGTAACAGATGGGGGGGGGGAGATTTTCCTAGAACGTATATACAGTAGGAATGGTGGTCATAGTCATATACAGACTTTACATGACGTTATATTTCGTTTTATGGTGTTATATTAAAGTGAATACGATATCTGGAGTACAACGGCGTGTCTGATGTTATCGTTGTTCAACTTGTTGAAGATCCTAAAATAGGAAAGTTACGAGTCAGGTGTTGGAAATCAAACAACAAATAAAATACTTAAAAAAAACTTTTTAAAAAAACACGTTTTTCTTGTGGACTAAAAAGTAGAAAATAACTATTTACATACATTTGATGACAAAAAACGTGGGTACGTTCACCATCAAATTTCCCGACCCATCTGCCCGACCCACGTTTTTTGTCATCAAATGTATGTAAATAGTTATTTTCTACTTTTTAGTCCACAAGAAAAACGTGGTTTTTTAAAAAGTTTTTTTTAAGTATTTTATTTTCTCCTTTTTAGTCCGTTGCTACACATGAAAAACGTGGTTTTTAAAAAAGTTTTTTATATAGTTTATTTTCTACTTTATCTAATGACTTGATTAAGTATGAATTGACTAAGTGTTTATAAATACACGGACTAAAAAAATCTTGAGCGACCAGGATTCGAACCTGGGTTATCGCGGCCACAACGCGAAGTACTAACCACTATACGATCACGGCCAGCGCGCTCACATCGATTGGGGCCGAAGTAACTGTGTCAATAAGCCTCCAGTCTTGTCGGTATCTTTAGAAATCATGTCCTCAATTTTATGGTCCTTTGGGCGTAATTAAATTAAGCTAATTACGGTCTCTAATTGCTAGTTTTTATGATTGCATCTGAAATTGTTAGGCGAAAGTAGCCTGCATGCCAAATTTCAGAACTATAGAACAATCAGAAGTGGGCTAATTTTCGATGTCAATTTTAACAACAAACACACAAACGCGAAGCTGAGTTAATAAAAACGTGTTAAAAAACGCCAGGGCCCGTTTTATAGCAAGCTTGGCATGCAAGGCGGAAGTTTGACTACCATGTCAGCTAAAGACGCCAGAGATGGTATCGAGGTTAGAGGTGGTATCGTTACATCTTTGATGGAGGCTAGAGATGGTATCGCTCCATCGTTCATGGAGGTTAGAAATGATATCATGGGGGAAATTATCGCGTAATATTATACCGGAATTCATAGTCATCACGTGACTGTGGGGGACACTTGAGGCGGTAACCAGTGGAGCGTGTCGTGACTTACCTGCGATAACCTTGACGGAACGGTTGGCAAATCAATGCCACGACACAGCTGGTCACCTTTTTGGACCTAGGCTGTACTGGATTTTATCGAGAGGAACTCTGGCTCTACTAGTCGTCTGCTTGTGGCTAGTTAGGTCCTCTCTGTCTACCCTGAAGGCCCTCTGTAGGTCTTCTCTGTCTATTGTAGGTCTTCTGTCTACTTCATAGACCGTCTGTAGGTCTTCTGTCTACTTCATAGACCGTCTGTAGGTCTTCTGTCTACTTCATAGACCGTCTGTAGGTCTTCTGTCTACTTCATAGACCGTCTGTAGGTCTTCTGTCTACTTCATAGACCGTCTGTAGGTCTTCTGTCTACTTCATAGACCGTCTGTAGGTCTTCTGTCTACTTCATAGACCGTCTGTAGGTCTTCTGTCTACTTCATAAACCGTCTGTAGGTCTTCTGTCTACTTCATAGACCGTCTGTAGGTCTTCTGTCTACTTTATAGACCGTCTGTAGGTCTTCTGTCTACTTCATAGACCGTCATAGGTCTTCTGTCTACTTCATAGACCGTCTGTAGGTCTTCTGTCTACTTCATAGACCGTCTTTAGGTCTTCTCTGTCTACTCCATAGACCGTCTGTAGGTCTTCTGTCTACTTGATAGACCGTCTGTAGGTCTTCTGTCTACTTGATAGACCGTCTGTAGGTCTTCTCTGTCTACTTCATAGACCGTCTGTAGGTCTTCTTTGTCTACTGTAGGTCTTCTCTGTCTACTTCATAGACCGTCAGTAGGTCTTCTTTGTCTACTGTAGGTCTTCTCTGTCTACTTCATAGACCGTCTGTAGGTCTTCTCTGTCTACTTCATAGACCGTCTGTAGGTCTTCTTTGTCTACTGTAGGTCTTCTCTGTCTAGTCAGTCTGTAGGCCTTCTCTGTCTACTTGTGACTAGATAGGTCCTTCCTCTCTGTTATGCTTCTATCGACTTTTAACTTTATTTTCTATTTAATAGTTCTATACGCCCTATCTGTCTACTTCATAACTTGCTTGTTAGTTCTTCCTGTTTAATTCAAGGCTCAAAAAGTCTTAGCCCCTTTCTTTGTTATGTTTTTATAAAATTGCTAGATAAATTATCTATTAAAGGCTTATTTAATAGCTAATTAGTTTTAATATTAAATATCATTGCATTAGAAGTAGGCCTATGTGAAAAGGGAGCGAATATATTTAACCACAAACTAAAATATCCAACACCATTTTAAGCTTTATGTAAAACGTACGAGCACAATATTCAGACTGTTAGAAAAAGGAGAAAAAGACGATCGAGTTTTTATACAGAGCGAAGCTGTAAAATTGTATGCAGTGGTAGGACACGCCAGTGCTATAGGCCTATTCTCAACACTGATAATAGCTGAATTCACAGCCGATAACGTGCATTCAGGTTTTAAAGAACAAGAAGGCCGTCAAATAGAAATTTGAGGATTTTTTGTGGGATAGTCGGGCTGGGAGTTGAGTGTATGAGAGGCCCTTCACATATCCTGCCTTTACATATACAATACTACCACAGTGTACACAGTACAACACTACCACAGTGTACACTGTACAACATTATCACAGTGTACAATATACAACACAATCAGAGTGTACACAGTACAACACTACCACAGTGTGCACAGTACAACACAACCACAGTGTATACAGTGCAACACTACCACAGTGTTAGTACACAGTACAACAACACCACAGTGTACACAGTACAACAACACCACAGTGTACACAGTACAACAACACCACAGTGTACACAGTACAACAACACCACAGTGTACACAGTACAACAGCACAACACCTTCAGTACACAGTACAACAATACCGCAATGTACACAGTACAACACTACCACAGTGTTAGTACACAGTACAACACTACCACAGTGTACACAGTACAACACTACCACAGTGTACACAGTACAACACTACCACAGTGTACACAGTACAACACTACCACAGCTTCAGTACACATTACAACACAACCACAATGTACACAGTACAACAACACCACACCGTCAGTACACAGTACAACAACACCACAGTGTACACAGTACAACAACACCACAGTGTACACAGTACAACAACACCACACCTTCAGTACACAGTACAACAACACCACAGTGTACACAGTACAACAACACCACACCTTCAGTACACAGTACAACAACACCACACCGTCAGTACACAGTACAACAACACCACAGTGTACACAGTACAACAACACCACACCTTCAGTACACAGTACAACAACACCACAGTGTACACAGTACAACAACACCACACCTTCAGTACACAGTACAACAACACCATACCTTCAGTACACAGTACAACAACACCACAGTGTACACAGTACAACAACACCACACCTTCAGTACACAGTACAACAACACCACAGTGTACACAGTACAACAACACCACAGCTTCAGTACACAGTACAAGCTCTCAGTAACAAATAACAAAACGTCTGTAGAACAACAAAGCACTATAAGGAAAAAAAATACGATTACGTTCATGAACGTCATAAATGCCTAGACATGACGCATACAATCATTTCACTCCCTTTTTTTAAATTCATTCCCATTGGTTCGACTTCACATGAATCGGATTAGAAGTTTAATATTGTGTCTCGACTGTAATTTATTGTGCATGAACCGTGCGATTGCGTTTAGTGTCTTGAATGGGTTCAAGTTAGAATTTTTTAGGTTTATGGCTAGTGTTGGAGTTAGAACTTAGTCTAGGGCAAGGATTATTGAAACGTTAGCTATAAATTAAATCGAGCTTAATGGCTTGGCTTATTTTAGAGAGGTTAAAGTAAATGTTAGTGATGTGTAATAATCGTTTAATAAATGCGTACATGACTAGACTTATTTTCTTCGAAAAAGAGAACAAAATTAAAATAAAAAAAAAGTTCAGTAATGTTGCAAGGTGGGGGGGGGGGGGGGGGGGTTACAACAGTGGCGTAGCGGGGGGTCGGGGGGTGCGGTCCGCACCTGGTAACACCATTTAAAGGGGGTGACACCAGGGCAAAAAATATAGAGAAAAATGATAATTCCACTTAATTAAGTGATTAATTCGAGTGTTAAATAGTGTTTTAAGAGGTGCAAATCGAAAGCTTGAGGGGGGGGGTGCAAATTGAAAGTTTGAGGGGGGGGGGGGTGCATTGAAAATTGAAAGTGTGTCCCCGGGAAGGGTCGCTACGTCTGTGGGAGGTGACAACATTAAGTGTCGCACCGGGCGACAACCGACTTCGCTACGACACTGGGTTACAATATAATGACACCATTACGAAGGTGAAACTAAATTTAAATAAAATAAACCGGTAGTGATCTCCCCTAAACTTTCTCGAATATTCTTATATAAAACAACAGGGGATGGTAACTGGGGATATAGTTATGATCTTTAATCCATTTTAAATACTGAAACTTTTAAAAATAGAATAGAATCTCAGTAAAAAACAATTGCGCACCAAGCAAACGCCTAATAAAGGTGTGTATAATAGTGCGCAATAGTATTAGTACTTTATAAATTTACATTAGTTTTTTGAGAAATCGGAAGTAGCGTAAAGTACTACTTCCGGTTAACGGAAATTACTCAAAATTTAACAGAAGGTAGAGAATTAGATCTTTTACTTACATGTGAAATTTCATTTATCTATCTGAAATAGTACTCAAGTTATAGGCTTTTGAAAAATTCAAAGTAGAAAAAGTACCACTTCCGGTTATCCGAAATCGCTCAAAAGTTGATACGGATCTACGATTTTGATATAATACTTGTATATGAAATTTCATCAACCTAGCTGTAACGGTACTCAAGTTATCGTGTTTACACACGGACACACACACACACACACACACACGGACACACAGACATACGGACAAGATTGCAAAATTATGTTTTTCCGTATCAGTGAGATGTAAAACGTCGAGATTTGCAAAAATCTCGATTTTTTTTTTTTTTTTGCACGATTACAAGACTTTCTCTATACTTCGTATATACGAGAAAGTAAAAACGTAAAATGTTCTATTAAAAAATGCATCCTGTTAAAAATAATAAAATAGGAAAAGGAGAGGGGTGACACCAAAAACATTAAATTTTTTGGAGTAGGGTGGGATGACACCCAATGTATTGACGCCATTCTTTAAGTTAATACTGCGATTTTAGATTTATGTTGTCTTTCTTTGAAACATGATTTATTTTTGTTATACCGTAGAAGCCACATTATGAAACTATTGTAAGACCCATGCTCGATAAACAAACTATAAAAACCGGCTGGTTTCCGTGAAAAATTGCATTCGGCAAAAGACTCTCAAGCAGAGTTTCTTCCAGGCATCTCAGGTTCCCCCCCCCCCCCCCCACCCCGCCGAAGAAGGTCTACCCCCCCCCCCCCCTTCCCGAAAGAAATGGAATTTACACAGAGAATATATACTTTTAACAGTGACCCTTCCCCCCCCCCCGGAAATTTTAGTCCGCCCCCCCCCTGAATTTCAAGTGCCCCACCACCACCACCCCCCGCCCCCACCCCCCTCGGAGTAAAAAGTCTGGAAGAAACACTGGTCTCAAGTGATGTACCTGCTCTATTTTGGAATTAGGTTAAAAACTTTACCTTTTTACTGTCCCTTCTAAGTCGTTGGCGCCGTTGTAAGCGTGCAGGATCTTTACAATCTGGGCGTTTGTTTTGAGCGGGAACTCCTGGCCCGTGAGATTGATGAAGTACTTCCACTTGGTGTACCTCCACAGCTGTCTCATGCAGACGATCTCTGCCTCCAGCACGCTAAACTCCCCCCACTTGATGTCGACTCTGTCAGCCGATAGGAAAACATTCGGGAAACATTGAGCTATCGCGGACATAGCCAGATAAAACGTTTTGTCGGATTTAGCATCGAGGTGGAAGCAGTAGTAGTTCTGCGGTCGGTAAATGGCGCGGAGTAATCTTTCAACCATTTCGATGTCTTTGTAAGCCACGATTGAATAAGCCAGAGGGAATTCTTCTTCTTCTGAAGACAGTGGGCATGTCATATAACCTCGTACTGCTTTAAAATTTTCGCAGTTTTCTGTTAAATTGAGGTAAAAATCGTTGGATAAAAGTTCACGTTTGGTGGATTTTGATTTCGAAATACCTTCGTCGACAGCAGATTTGCTCCCGGAGAAAACAGATTTGCAGTCGATTTCTTTAACTTTGAGCAGACGTGCAAGTTTTTCTGGCGTCTGCATGCAAGCGTTGGTGGGACCAGACGCGTGGTTTTGTGGCGGAGCTACCTCTACGTTACTCGCGGGCTGGTGATCCATCTTTGTAAGGGCTTGGACAATCACGTCCAGTGTGTAGGCTTCAGCATTGTCCGTCTTTGGCGTGTTGGTGTCAATGTGTTGTAGTTGTGTGTTGGCGTCTAGCTGATGTGTGGTGTTTGTGGCGTATGTTGGGTGTGTTAGGGCCTGCAGTAAGGGCGTCTTGTCTTGCAGGATATACACCAGGACAAGACCCACGCAGAAAATGAAGAAAATCTTGTAGCGGAACTTCTTGTAGAGCATTGTAAACACCTTCTTGTCTTTGGAACGATCTTCTGAAAACTTCATGCTGGAAACACCGGTCTGCAAGAAATGTAAATATTTAGACTGGGCCGTTGCACCATTACGTGTTAGATACGTTGAGACGTTGATAGTCAAAGTTTAAGAATATTGGTGGTAACAGATGTTTGACCAGCAGCAGCTGGTACAGAGGCGTAGCGAGGGGGGGGAGGGCGGGGGGTACATGTCCCCAGGCGCCGACCTTAGGGTGCGCCAAAATGAGTTGGAAAAACAAATTAAAAACTAATTTTAGCTGCAATTTTGCATTATAAATATAAAAAATATATGGGGGGGGGGGGGTGGGGGGGGGGCAAGTTGGAAGTTTGTCCCCAGGCGCCTGGAAGGGTCGCTACGCCACTAAGCTGGTATTCTTGGCAGTCAGAGAAGTTGGTAGTCAGAGAAGTTGGTAGTCAGAGAAGTTGGTAGTCAGAGAAGTTGGTAGTCAGAGAAGTTGGTAGTCAGAGAAGTTGGTAGTCAGAGAAGTTGGTAGTCAGAGAAGTTGGTAGTCAGAGAAGTTGGTAGTCAGAGAAGTTGGTAGTCAGAGAAGTTGGTAGTCAGAGAAGTTGGTAGTCAGAGAAGTTGGTAGTCAGAGAAGTTGGTAGTCAGAGAAGTTGGTAGTCAGAGAAGTTGGTAGTCAGAGAAGTTGGTAGTCAGAGAAGTTGGTAGTCAGAGAAGTTGGTAGTCAGAGAAGTTGGTAGTCAGAGAAGTTGGTAGTCAGAGAAGTTAGACCATAAGTCGTCACAGTTACCAGCATAATTTTTTTTTCTGATGATTTCACTGAACCATCAGCCCAAATAGAAGACGAGGACCGTGCAACAGATGACTAACTCTATCAAACAAACTAGAAGGACTAAAATCGCAAATCTGTAACTATTTTATTCTGAAAAACAAAGTCATATAACCGCAACAGAGAGCTGTTTATTTTTGTAGAAAGATTTATCATTAAATCAAAGTCTTATCGGGCGGTACCGCACTCAGTTTTTTTTTTAAACCCGATGAATCAGTTTGTTTTTGTTTCATGGTTTTGTTTCTTCTTTTTCTAATTTCTTGTCATTGTTCTGTTGAGTCTAACCTTTATTTATCAGCGCGTTATCGGGCTGTATATTTTCTTTTTTATTTCATCAGAGGTTGTCTTTACTTATTAGCGTCTTAGCCTATATCAATCAATATGCTTATAAAGACTTCTTGGTGCGCTATTGAATGTCAATACAGAATTTTTAAAGAGTATTGAATATCAATTATTTTCTATAATTATTTCTTATGTGTTGTCATTTCAGGGACGGAGCTACAATGCTAGGGGGGGGGGGTCATATAAAATTTGATATATGTATATATTTATATAAACATATATATATATATATATATATATATATATATATATATATATATATATATATATATATACATATATATATACATATATATATATATACATATATATATATATACATATATATATATATATATATATATATATATATATATATATATATATATATATATATATATATATATATATTTTTTTTTTTTTTTTTTTTTTTTATATATATATATGCCTAAATATAAAAAGGCCCAAAACTTTGTTTTACAGGGGAGCCTTTTTTTCTAGTCCGCCACTGAGTCAATTTGCTGTAAATGTTTTACATTGCTTTAAACAATTTTGTCTATAGCCATAAGCGGCCTTTACCAGTTTGAAATAGCCTGCACCGACTGATGTGGACAAAAATGTGTACGACAATTGAAAAATTCTTTGTACTCAAATGTATTCGGTAAAATATTGGGTTAAATTAGTGTATGGTGCGGATAGTAGGATAGTTGGTTAGATGGAACAATTGGTGAGTGGTGCAGATATTGGGATCGTTGTTTAGATGTGTATGGTGACCAACGTGTTATGTTGGTGTATGATGACAGACGTGTTGGTGTATGGTGACAGACGTGTTGGTGTATGGTGACAGACGTGTTGGTGTATGATGACAGACGTGTTGGTGTATGGTGACAGACGTGTTGGTGTATGGTGACAGACGTGTTGTGTTGGTGTATGATGACAGACATGTTGGTGTATGATGACAGACGTGTTGGTGTATGATGACAGACGTGTTGTGTTGGTGTATGATGACAGATGTGTTAGTGTATGATGACAGACATGTTGGTGTATGATGACAGACATGTTGGTGTATGATGACAGACGTGTTGGTGTATGATGACAGACGTGTTGGTGTATGGTGACAGACGTGTTGGTGTATGATGACAGACGTGTTGGTGTATGATGACAGACGTGTTGGTGTATGGTGACAGACGTGTTGGTGTATGGTGACAGACGTGTTGTGTTGGTGTATGATGACAGACGTGTTGGTGTATGGTGACAGACGTGTTGGTGTATGGTGACAGACGTGTTGTGTTGGTGTATGATGACAGACATGTTGGTGTATGATGACAGACGTGTTGTGTTGGTGTATGATGACAGACATGTTGGTGTATGATGACAGACGTGTTGTGTTGGTGTATGATGACAGACGTGTTGGTGTATGATGACAGACGTGTTGTGTTGGTGTATGACAGACGAGCCAGTAATGTATCAACAGTGTAGCACATATCGGTGCTAGTTAGTAGACAAACATATCTGGCATGTGTCCGTAATGTTGACACATAGTCACTGTCGCAGTGTCAATATGGTAGAAATTTTTTCAACTAACCATTTATATATATATATATATATATATATATATATATATATATATATATATATATATATATATATATATATATATATATATATACACATGTATATATATATATATACATATATATATATATATATATATATATATATATAAATGTATATATATATATAGGCTTATATATACATACATTTAATTATATATGTATTTATATATACATAGTTTATATATATAATGTATATATATATATATATATATATATATATATATATATATATATATATATATATATATTATATATATATATATATATATATATATATATATATATATATATATATATATATATATATATATATATATATATATATATATATATATATATATATACATTTACATATATAAGTGTAGTATATGACTATCAACATAGCTTTGCATCAGCAAAGGATTACATACTGATTGATTCATCAAAAGATTCACAGCAAAGCTGTTGTGTTAAATTAATTACCTGCAAGAAATAACGTGCATATGATGTCATCTATCAAAACATATTCTTGTTTATAGATAAATTTCACTCACATGCTTATATATTACCGCCATAAGGGTGTTTATTTATCTCGGTGATCAGTTATTTCGACACTTTTTGACAAAACATAAAGCCGTCAAAATAACCATATATTATGTGTGTTAAATGTTTTAAGTCAATAACGCTGTCATTAATACATTAAAATTTATAAGAAAAAAACTATCTTTATACCCTTACGTAAATTTGTTGAGATTTTGAAGAGACGGATTGTGCAAATGAGACACATGGAGCAGTTAAGTTCTATGCCCAGCCGCCTAGTTTCCCTAACTTAAGTTAATACACATCAGAGCTAAATGGACTCAGAGACTTTCCACTGATTTGAACCCGGATTCGAACTCGAGACTCTCGGGTAAGCAAGCTATCTCTCTACCGCTAGGCCACGTAGTCTCGTGTAAACAAATATCACCATCTGTGTTTGTAAAATGTCAACCAATCACATTGATCGTTTCATTCACGCTGTAGTTTAAGTATAATCTTATCAAAATCCTATCATTCATTCTCGCCCTTGCAATCACAAACTCACATTTACATTAACGCTTGAATAAAGTTCCAAATCCGATTGATCCAAATCCGATTGATTAATCTGCTAATCCCCGCGTGCTACTGCCGCACCTCCCACCTGGATTAACGTTCACGCTCTGATCTTCAATAACTTCTGTATACCATCATGCTACGTCACTTCCTGGTTTAACAACACCCGCCGACTGTTCCCTATGAAGGTTGTCAATGGTCATACGTGAAGTCGGGAGCGGGAACACTCGGTGTTGACTTTGAGAAAAAGTTGAACAAAAACGTCTGATCAGAGGGTGAATAGTACTCTCTGTACGAGGTGTTTGGATCCGTAAGGGGAAGTAAATCAGCTTTCTCGTGTCAAAAAGTCTAGCCATACACAATTTCTATAGGTTAGCGGTTTAATACTGGTGTAGTATTTGATACTTTAGCAAGGCTACATATAACATTGGAAACTAAGCATAGATACTTAGTATCATTAGCTGAAGTTATGTTGTAGCTTTAGTATAGTTGCCTGAAGTTGTAAGCTGATACTTAAGTATGATTGACTGAAGCTGTAAACATAATTATAATTGACTAAAGTTGTAAGCTGATACTTAAGTATAATTGACTAAGCTTGTAATGTGATACATAAGTATAATTGATTGAAGTTGTAAGTTGATACATAAGTATACTTGACTGAAGTTGTAAGCTGATACTTAAGTATAGTTGGTTAAAGCTGCAAATTGGTACTTTAACAAGAATATTTTGAACAAGGTGTAATGGGTTTTTTAAGCTACTTTTATTTTGCTTTATTAATAATGTCATTTCATATTTTGAAATTTACGGCCATTTTAAATTGTCGTTATCTTTCTTGTAAAATTTTTTTAAAAATACCTATTTAAATTTATTTTCACAATCGAATTTAAAATTAGTAATTTATTTCGTAGTGTATATTCATAATAACTATCAAACTTTTTATATTCTTGAGTATAGTTTGCTTTCAATTATCTATTTAATAATTTGTTTTTATAAATGTTTTTTTTTTAATGCTGTTGTGATTTATGTTATGAAATTTAATTAATTTTAATAGTTAAATGATCTATTTTCTTTAAAAACTTTCTAACTTGTTTAATCTAGTTTTTTAAATTAATTTGTTAACTAATTTCTCCTCGCAAAGTTAAGTAGCTGAGTCCGGGTACAACGTGAGATAAATGTGTCTGAGATAAATCTCAATAAAATATTTGAATGAGGCCTTAGCTCACAGACCCAACATAAGGGAGGTGATTGCTTTAATAGGGCCCACCAAGGTGTTTCATTTCACTTTAATATTCACAACACTAAATACTCAATGTGTGTTTTACAGAAAAAAAAATTCGCATTACAGATTTAAAAAAACTCAGATTATATTTTAAATGCAGTATTAATTAATTGTAATTAAATCTGTCAAATTGGAGGACCTCTATTTTAATTAAATTACCTGTATCTAATTGAAATCATGTGTAAAGGTGTTGTACGAGTTACCTGTTGAGTGTATAAAGATCTAGAGTCACACAACCAAATTGTCGTCACTGTATCCACTTCACTCAACACGATACTAACGCCGGGGAGTTACTCGCTGGCCTAGAGTAGGATCAGGGGAGGTAATACGCTTGGACCACGAACCATAACTCACGTAAATCTATTACAAAACCCGTGCATGTTGCACTATAGGTGTGCGTGTAATCTTCTTAAAGTGGCTCAGGACTAGATCGTTTTTATTTTTTAAATGGATTTAAATATAAAATTAAATATGTGTCGTATTAGTTGTGGATTAGTCGTGTATAAGTTTAAGCCCTTTATAAAATTTAGCATTTCGACACTTATGAATTGAAAGTCTTATAGCGCGATTTGGCTAAATATATTAATTGTTTTTACAGTAGTACACGATTAATTCTATCCCTCCCACACACCGAAACACACGTCACACACACGCACACCTCTTATAAACAGCAAGCAATGAGTCATAGATACCGTTGTTTACTTTAATGAAAAAATTATAGATCAAAATCAAAAGTCCTATTTATTATACATCAATTAAAGTAGTTTCTTGTTCAAACAATCTAACGCCTCATTGTGACATTTTTAAATGTTCCGACATTTGTGATAGATTCGGCAGTTGTGTTAATTACACAACATATGAGCTTTAAATACACTTACATGTAATTGAAATCAACCAAGGTTTAGTAAAACACTTACAAGAACTCCCACACTCAAAACCACACACAAACACGCGCATACAAACATAAAATAACACAACTTTTACATAAAACTTTACATAAAACGACTTTCACACACACACACACATCACACACACACACACCATAGACAAAATATCACACACGTTTCCACACACGTCACACCACACATATAAAATATCACTCACACATACACAATACCATGCACATGCACACACATGTGTGATTAGTCACCTCTCATGATTAATGTTCCATACAGCCGACCTGCTCACTTTCTTGTGAAAAAAAAAATCTCTTTGTACTCACGCGTCCATACTCCGGTGAGACCGGATATGGTTCGATCACTTAACATAGGCGTCATTACCCCACCTTCTCCCGTCCCCCACACCCCACACACAGTGCCAGGACACGTCCTTAAGTGGAACACACACACACACATACACAGAGAGAGAGAGAGAGAGAGAGAGAGAGAGAAAGAGAGAGAGGGAGAGAGGATATATTTAAAAATAAAGTGGACATATTCTAATCAGGTTCAGAGGTAGGGGGTTGTATTATAGGTGGGGGAGGAGTTTATGTTACCGAAAATGTATATTGTATAGAGTACTAGTTTTACCCCGCCGGTTTAATATATATATATATATACTAGCCGTCCCGGCCAGGCCCTGCTCTGGCTTCTGTGAAAAACCTTTCTGTTAAAGACCATTAACTGTGTGTTAAGTAATCATCATAAACCCGGCATTACCCACCCAAACCACAACCAACCAAAACCAAAACAACAAAACGCAAAAATAACGCCAACACAATTCCAAATACAAACGAAAACAAAAATCTAACAACAAACCCAACCACAACCACAAACACCAATACAAACACAAAGAAAAAACAAACAAAAAAGCAAGCAAAAACAAAAACCTAACAACAAACCCAACCACAACCACAAACACCAATACGAACACAAAGAAAAAAAAACGAAAAGCAAACGAAAACAAACCAAATCCAAACGCAAAACCAACCACAAACACAAACCCAAAGAAAAAAACACAAACGAAAAAGCAAACGAAAACAAACCAAATCCAAACGCAAAACCAACCACAAACACAAATACAAACACAAACCCAAAGAAAAAAACACCAACGAAAAAAGAAAGAACAAAAACGAACCAAATCAAAACGCAACCACTAACGCAAACCCAACCTAAACTCAAAGAAAACACAAACGCGAACATAAACGCAAAGTGCTCACAGTCTAGCCCGGGGCAGAATCGCATGTTTCAGCTTAATAAACGACTATAGTACCCCAACTTATTCATAGTCTTTTGCACTCACTTAAACGAACGTAGGTGCCAAACCAAACCAAATAAACAATTATAATACGCCAAGCTTATCCGTAAAATACCTACAACATTTGCACTTAATCAATCCCCGCTAATTATGTAATTATTTTTTTCCCAACACCAAAATCAAGTAATAAAAAGTAAATTCTTTTCCACTAATGCAATGGTTTATAAAGGGAAGTAATTGTGTTTTCCTAATTTATCAAAGGGAAGTAAGTGCTAAAGGACTAAATATAAATAATTTTCAGACATAATTAGAGTTTTTGTAAAAGATGATATTTTTTAAAAATTGTGTTTAATGAATATGCCGAAATTTATTACTATCAGTTTGAAAAATGAAAATTATTTCCCAACACTTTCAATAGTAATTTTTTAACTCATAAATTTAGACTATGAGCACGGTAATAGTCTAACACTTAAATCCATAGAAGTATGTCAACGATATACAAACTTATTACATGTTACATACAGAATTGAGCTTTATATATATATACTAGCCGTCCCGGCCAGGCCCTGCTCTGGCTTCTGTGAAAAACCTTTCTGTTAAAGACCATTACCTGTGTGTTTAGTAATCATCATAAACCCGGCATTGCCCACCCAAACCACAACCAACCAAAACCAAAACAACAAAACGCAAACATAACGCTAACACAATTACAAATAAATACAAACAAAAAAGCAAACGAAAACAAAAACCTAACAACAAACCCAACCACAAACACCAATACCAACAAAAAAAAAAAATCAACGAAAAAAGCAAACGAAAACAAACCAAATCCAAACGCAAAACCAACCAAAAACACAAATACAAACCCAAACAAAAAAAAACACAAACAAAAACGAAAAAAGAAAGAACAAAAACTAACCAAATTAGAACGCAACCACTAACGCAAACCCACCTAAACACAAAGAAAACACTAACGCGAACATAAACGCCCGGGGCGGAATCACCTGTTTTAGCTTAATGAACGACTATAGTACCCCAACTTATTCACAGTCTTTTGCACTCACTTAAACGAACGCGCCTGTTTCAATTTAATAAACAATTTTAATACTCCAAGCTTATTCGTAAAATACCTACAACATTTGCACTTGATCAATCCCCGCTAATTATGTAATTATTTTTTTTCCCAACACCAAAACAAAGTAATTAAAAAGTAAATTATTTTCACGGAATGCAATGGTTTTTTATAAAGGGAAGTAATTGTGTTTTTCCTAATTTATCAAAGGGAAGTAAGTGCTATAGGACTAAATAAAGACATAATTAGAATTTTTGTAAAAGATGATATTTTTTTTAAAACTTGTGTTTAATGAACATGCCGACAATTATTACTATAATTTGAAAAATGAAAATTATTTCCCAACACTTTCAATGTGTGACACCATTTAGGGGGGTGACACCAAGGCAAAAAATAGCAAAATATGTAGAGAAAAACTGGAGGGGGGTGCACATCGAAAGTTTGAGGGGGGTGCAAATAAAAAATTTGAGGGGGGTGCAAATCGAAATTTTAATGGGGAGGGGTGCAAATAAAAAATTTGAAAGTTTGTCCCCGGGAAGGGTCGGTACGCCTCTGGGGGGGAGGGGGTTACACCATTAAGTGCCGGGTGACACCCGACCTCGCTACGCCACTGCAGGAACCCCAAACACTTTTTAGTTGGTTGAAGACTGCTCTTGCCTTGCCCGTCCTTATTTTTATGTCTGCTTCTGTCCAGCCCTGCTTATCAACAATACTTCCAAGGTAGGTGAATCTATCCACTTCCTCTAGGACTTCGTTACAAGAGTGCTGCCTGATGCATTGGCTCCGGGGGGGGGGGGGGGGACACTGGTAAAAGTATATCTTTTCTATATAAATTCCATTTCATCCGGTGAGATGAATGGAAGAAATACGTATTATTTTTAATGTGTGTAGAATACTGCGGAACATTAGTACTTTATACAGAAAACCTTGAAAAATATTCAAAGAGTTAATTTAACATCTAACTAAGTAATATTTAATGTCACAATACAAAAAGTCCGGTAGAAGCGTTCAAAATTTTTCTCGCAAGTTTCCGATCATGGCGCACGAAAGTTTAAAAAAAAAAAAATTCTTATGCTTTTTTTTTTGAGAAGTCGGAAATAGCGTGAAGTAGTACTTCCGATCACCGGAAATTACCCAAAATTTGACAGAAAACAGAATCAGACGAAATTTCACACGTAAAAGATCTATTTAACTGAAACAGTACTCAAGTTATTCAACTTTCAGTTTTTCATAAGCCTATAAGTTTCTGGTTACCGGAAAATTTTATACAGAACTACACATTTTATATAATTATTTTATATGAAATTTCGTCAGCTGTAACGATACTCAGCTGTTCACAGACAGACAGACAGACACACGCACACACACACACACACACACACATACAGACACACGTGTAAAATTCCGTATACTGAGCAAATGCGACAAGTGGGCTCAGAGGCGTAGCGATGGGGGGGGGGGGGCAGGGTGGACATATATCCCCGGGCGCCGACATTCAGGGGCGCCAAAATGGGTTGTAAAAACAAATTAAAATGTCAAGTTAGCTGCATTTTTTCAGTTTGAGGAGGGCGGGGGGTGCAAATCGAAAGTTTGGGGGGGGGGGTGCAAATCGAAATGTTGAGGTCGTGGTATGCAAATTGAAAATTTGCTCCCGAGGGGGCCGCCAAATTGAAAGTTTGTCCCCGGGCGCCGGGAATGGTCGCTACGCCTCAGAGTGGGCTATAGCATTCTGCTTGTATTCTGGTAAAATATCACTCTCCCGACGGTTGTCGACTGTCGAGGAAGCACTGTAACTTTAAATACAGGTTCATAAATTAATTTTTTTTTAACACACTTGTAACTAAATACATGATATAAAAAGAGCTCCACAAAGAAAGTCTACCACCCTCCCCGAGCGAAATGGAACTTATATTAACAACATAACTTTACCAATGTCCGCCCCCTCCCCCCCGGAAAATGAATCCCCCCCCTCTCCCCCCCCCCCACCCGCCAAAAATATTAAGTGTCACCCTCCACGTCCCCCTGACGAGAG